GTGGAATCTGTATTTATGGGAGTTCCCTCTGATTTTGGTATGATAATGAGTACATTTGTGGTTGGTGCAGAGGGACGCGAGCCCGTGTCTGTAACGGAGATGGCAAGTGTACAAGATAATTGATTTTGCTAATGTTGAATGATCATAAACTCCAGTATTTGAAAGCAACCTGAACTGCTGACACTTTTGCTATTGTAAAAGTTACTGCACTGGTTGGCAGCCAAGCCAAGTTATATGGAATTTGGCTGATGAAAATTGTTGCAAAATACTAAACCAAATTGTGATACATTGTTAACACGACTTGGCTGGAATGTACTGGATGTAATGCTGCATCAGTAGGACTTTGAGATCTTGCTCTATGCGTTTCATTTACCAGTAACCAAATACGGTTATCTGCTCCTTAATCCAGGACTAGAACCCAGTTGCTCTCAGTTGTTTTCCTTTTTAGTGTATATTTCTGAAAGCAGCTTTTCTGGAGGTAGAGATAAATGCTTCAGTTTTGATTGAGATAGGGTGGAAATCTGTCTTCAAAACTGGAAAATGCTGCACGAGATTTTATGAACTGTATGTAGTCCTTTTGTATATGTGGATATTTGAGACATACATGTTATTAGGGACTTAACGTATATGAGACACTTGAGTATTCATAGTAACTTGAGAAAGCTGTTAGGTTTTTATTGTAAGGCCTTTCACTGATGCTGATCCTGTTCTTCTATCCCCTTTCTGGGAAGATATGTGATGCTTCATGCAATTTAAAACTGTTCTAATTTACTGTCATGGTCAAGACCCAGCCTGAAGATGTTTGACACTGCAAAGCTTCGTAGGAGATTTGGAAGCAGGAATAAAAAAGCCTGTCACTGGAGAAGTGAGAGTGCAGGGCGAGAACAATGTAAATGAAAACATGCCAATGTGAAGGGAGCTTCTTCCAAGACCTCTTATTTCCACCTATTGTCTTTGGCTGTTTAAACAGATATAAAAATCTTCGCTTATTTGTCTGCAACTGTTCCTCCTCATCCCCCCTCATTTGACAATAAGGAAGTAAGACTGTATCTGGAGTGTTATTGTCACTGCTAGGTTTTGAGTAGGTTTTTTTCCTATATCCTGAAATATACCAGGATAGTAGATTTTTCTCCCCCTTCTCATTCAGGTCAAAGACTGACTTAGATGGGAAGATGTGACTTTGGTTTAGTTATGGTGACCACTGATTCTAGATGTTGGTGCAGTAAGTGTTACTTAAAGAACTTACTTTAGGAAATGATTAAAAGAAAATTCATGACCTATTGATAGCACTGTCAGTTAATGAGGCTTTACATGCTTTAAGCTGAATTGTTACATGGTTCAGCCTTTTTACTGAGGTGTGTTTAATGAACATTTACATGATGCTGGAGAAATGGCTTCTCTCAGCATGAGATCCTTCTATACTAACCTGTTTAGCTTGAGTGAGGTGGGAGATTGTAACTCATTCAAGTAACTTCGAGAAGGTGATTCCTTTTCAAAGGAATCAAGGTGTGGCTTTTGAGATGCTACATCTTATTAAAGTGCTTATGTTAATTACAAGGAAGGGTTTCATGGTAACTGTTGCATTCCTTGAGAACTTAAATGTAAAGGCTGTGTAGCCTGAGTGGAGTGATAGAGTGAGGGGTGGCTGAACAGATTTAAACATTTCTGATGTATTTATGGTTTTGTTGAGCAGTCTAAACCAGCTCTGATCTAACCAGACTGAAGAGTAGTGGTGGATGGAGTTCAGTGCAGTTGGCAGCCAGTTGCAAGTGGTGTTCCCCAGGGCTCAGTACTGGGGCTGGTTCTGTGTTAATATCTTTATCAATGATCAGGACAAGGGGATCGAGTGCATGCTATCTTCAGGTTTAGTGAAATGCAGCTCAAAACATGGTAGCTTCCTCAGGAGAGTGCAGCTATCTGGAATAGGGGTTAAAGTCCCTGGTTTTAAGTGACATGTTCTTTGCTCAATATTTTTATGTTTAAAAATATAATTTAAATTTTAATTAAATTTTCATTTAAACCAGTATGTTGATTCAGCAGTTGGACCTTTTAAAAGAGAGAATCTCAAGAGCCCAGTAGAATTTTCTAGAACTATGATTCTGTGCAATTTGGGTACCCTTTTTGACATAATAAAGTGCCTTTGTGGCATTGGCTGTTATTTCCAAACCCTCCATGAAGCTCCTTCCTGGGGATCCCCCTTCCAGTCTACCTATAATGTGTGCTTGCCAGCAGCCCAGAATAGCCGAGCTGACAGCTTCCAGCAGGACACGCTGTCCTGTAGGTGTCAGGGGTCGGGGCTGGTGTCATGTGAGCTGTGCCGTATCTCTTTTCAAAGCTGATATTTAGTTCTTGCTTCTTCTTTGCTTCCAGCTGTAGCGCTTTAAACAAACAGTGACCAGACCCAAATACTCCACCTAATACATCCCCATACATGCTGGTGGCAGCCAGGCTGCCCTGCACTGTTAATTGCCTTCCTGTTGTCTAGTCCCTTATGGTGAAAGTAATTGTACCTTGAGGTTCCTTGTGGCGAATGGGAAGTTATGGTTCTCTTAGGAATGTCCCAGATTTGTGTGTGATCAGATGGCTCATGTTCTCGTCTTCAGAAATAACTCCCTTTTTGAGCTTTAGTCCTTTCTGAAGGCAGGGCATGGTAGACATGATGTTTGATCAGTGTTAGACTACAGCTACTTCACATGACACTGCCTGGACATGCCTTTTATCTGGAGGCTGTAAATGTGAAATTTCTGAATCCCGTTAGAGATCAGTGGTGATAAGTGAGGCCTTCAGTGGCCTGCGGTCCATAGCAGGGTGCTCTCTGATCTTGTGGGCTAAAAAAGAACATGTGGTGTGTTCTCCCTTCAAGTAAACAGCCTTTCTTCAAATCCTGAATAGAAATTTCATAGGACAGCTTAGTGTTGATCTTGAGACATATTTTTAAGTATTCTCTTGGTTACTAATAAAGCTTGATACTGAAGGAATCTTAAAATCACACTTCACACTCATTTTATCCTTCTCCCACTGGAGTTTCATAGTATTGACTTTTAAAAGCCTTTTACTGAGAGCAGCCTGTGTGTTAGCCTGGCTCTGCAGCAGGTACTCCAGCTCTCACAACTCTTTTCTCGTGAGTGCTTTGTTAGACTGAAAGTTCATTTGCTTAAGAAACACAATGAGTCTTTCTCCGTGATACTCTGTGTGTGTACATGTTACAGTAGGTGGTGTTGGGAAAGATCTGCCAGAGCTAAAGGCTTATTTCACTGACAACTGTTAAAAGAACCAAGCACAACTTGCAGTTGAAATTCTTCTGCATCATATTTGCTCCCCCACTCCCCCAAATATTTAGAATACCTTTGTATTTTAAATTAAGAGTTAGTCATTGCCCAAGTGCCAGGCATGCACTATTAATACACTAATGAGGTCAGGTTGTGCTCTTTCACTGAATGAATACTTGCCAAAACTCTTGAAGCAAGTTTCTGCAAATGCTTGTGTTGGCCTCTAAATCTTCCCTTGTCACTATTAGGCTTTTGGTCACCGCTAAGGACGACAACAGTGTGACTCTAAATGACATATTACCTAGAGCGTGTGGATAATGAATAACTGGCTATGAATAATGTTATTAAATAAACCCCAAACCTTCACACAGCCCTTTGTGGGGAAAGGATGTTCATGTATTTATTGTGTACATTTTGTATATGCTGTGAATATGCTTTGAAGACCAGAGCCTGACCCCAGACTGGTGTGGAGCAAGTTGCACTGAGATCTGCTCTCCGCGTCCCCTGAACAGCTCACAAAATTACCAGGGTAGTTGTTGGACAGTTAGGAAACCAGTTCCTTGACCTCATTCAACCATGTGGGAATTTCTCCTTTATAGAAAAGATCTAAAGAATGGAAACCCCCTACCACACTTCGAATTCCTTCTGATTGGTTTGTGTTAGGGTTGATGATAACCTCTTTTTGAGCCCTCTCACCCAAGTTCTGGTGTCTCTTCTTGCTTCCTGTTACTCACAAGTTTTTATATGTTTGTTTGTATACATTGGCTTTATGATACTGCTCAAAATAAAACTAATCTCAGCATATTGTGAAATAAATTGATTCAAGATAAACCAAGAGGAGCTGTGTAGAAGTTCCGTGTTGCAAGTGTTGGATTTCACAGCTTTCCATCAGCTGTGCTGCCAGCATAAATGAAGGTTCAGTTTTGTTTGTTGTGACTCAGAACTTCACAAAGGAGACTTTTACACTTTCAGGAGGGAGGGGTGACTGAATTGGTCTCTAGAGGGTGAGGGATAATTTGAGATGGTGAATTTATTTTCACTTCCTTGCACTAAGCCGTGTATCTGATAACTTCTGTTAGATTCTGTACTCCAACACCACATCCTTTTAATTTCTGTATTTTTTTGTAGGGCATTCTGCTGGACAGCTGTGCTTAGTAATTGCTGTAGGTAAAACTGGTACAAAATAATTCATGGAAATTTCCCTTGTTTGTTTGTTTATTCCTAGAATAATACTTTGATCTCACTGAAGCTAACATGGTTTGTAGCCACTGCTTCCTGTGGCTCACCAACCTGCATGACAACTTTTAGTTTCAGAGTGGAGAAGAAAGGATGTGGGTAAAGCTACACTTCTAGGTTGTCTTTGGCCAAAGAAAGCTGCAACTGGCCTGATGGGACTTTTTGTCACTTGTTTTACATATGGAAATGTGCTAACCTTTCTTGAGTTATGCACTGAGTGCCTGGTGCAACTGGGGATCATCTCGATTCAGCAGTTCTAGGAGAGGCAATGCGTGCCACTGTTAGAGTTGACAAAAGTGGTATCTTTCATAGATAACATACCACTGACCAAATAAACCCATTTTCTGCTAATTTCCTTATTATTAAATGATACCAGTAATGTTTGTGGGTTTGGTTTGTAATCTGGGGACAGCAATGGTAGCTTTGACCTGTTGCTGCTTTCAGCACTGAGTGGGCAGTGATGAGACTTCTCTCTCCCCTTTCTTTTAACTCCAGAACAGTGAGGCAGAGTTTGGTATGATACCATGGAAGGGCAGCATAACCATCCACATCATCTAGGGGACCAGAACAACCCTCTTTGCAAGCTGCCAGGGCAAGAGTACCAGCATGATCCTCAGGTAAGTACATGTCTCTTTAATCTTTCTCCTTTTGTGTTCTCTTCCATTCCTTTTATAAAGGTTTATAGATTACTTAGCATTTAGCTTTCCTTTTTTCCCTCTTTTGTTTATAGTGCAGTTAGAGCACTTTTAGGGTATATCCAGTTTGGGAGTCTGCCAGCCTGCCAGAGTTTCCTGAATTTATTTTTTTGATGATAATAAGAGAAAAAGGAAATAGCTTGAATTTTGCTTAAAGCAAGTCTTTTTAAATCGTCTTATAAAAACATGTTCTATGTTGGCTTTCTCCTCTCTGGTGCTTTGAAGAAAAGGCTGAAGAAAAGGCCAAAGAAAAGCAGTTGATTGTGTAACTGAATAAATGCATTTTATCTCCTTTTATAGTTTAATAATAAATGCTGAAGAGGTAATTGCCAAATACAAGAAAAAGTTCATCCTACACAAAACTGCAGGCTCTCTGGCTTCATTTCCTGTGTGTCTCTGGAATCTCTCCCACAATGTGTTTTGTCTGTGCTATTATCAAGTTTCACTACTGTGGCTCATATCTATCTCCCTTCCCTGCCTTTCTGCAGAAGTGGGCTAAAACTAGGGTTAGACCTGCATTCAAAGTAGGGGTGGTACCTTCACTGGAATCGTGAAACCTGTACTTTGTGAACTGTGGCTGCTTGCCTTTTTTTGACCGTTTTGTCCATTGATCAGAGCAGTTGGGTTTTACCTATATGCATTTTAAGGAGTAAACAAAAAGCATCATAGAAAAGCTGTCAGAAAGAAGGATATTGCAACTGTGGTGTAAAGTCACCTTGGGGAGGGGTCTGTGGGTGTCAGTTTGTCATTCCAAATGCACACTCCAGTGCTGATCCAGGTCCTTGACCAAGAAGTGGTTGTTAAGAAAGCTGGATCCAAACACAGATTTGCAAAAGCCATAAGTTGCCTACACACAGAATACAACGATGAATGTATCTTGCGCAGCACTGCTGGGAAAGTAATGTCGTATGGAGCAAAGCCCCCCTCTCCTAATGTAGCAATTTGTCATATTAAGTCATTTAATAATAATTGAATCCCCTTGATTAATCTCCCAGAATTAGCCAGTTGCATTTTGAGCAATTAGGGTTAATTACTGCCTCATTTGGCAGGATAGAGCCCCTGTAATTATTTCATGAACAAGATTAGGAAGTGTTCCTGTGCAGCAGATACATTCATGGCATCTTGGAGCACATGTTAGAATTTGTAATGACATAGTTAAGTGTAATTAGTAGCTAATAATCTGTGTTCTGCTGCTATGCTGAGACAGAGTGGGCTCATCTTGCTCTATGGTCATTGTTCAGTGAAACCTCCCCTCAACTCTCTTAATACCCAAGTTGTGCTAATGGGGGTCTCTAAGTATATTAACTGCTCTGAGGATGATCTCATTTAGAATTAGGATTGCAGAAAGAATTTCTTTGGTTTTGTTGTTAAAATCCATTTTTAAAAAAGCTGAGTAACAAAAATACACAGTCTGCCAGAGAACTGCACAAAATATGTCTCGTCAGCAAACTAGGTTTAAAAAATATCAAACTATGTCCTGTGTAGAGGCCAGGCTGCCTGACACTGATGCCATGGTATGATTGCTTATTACTGACTTCTCATTTTCCATTTTGCAGGAACATAATTATATACAATTTTCCATTTCTGATACCTGTTACCTGAAAGAATCAAAAATTACATCATTTCTTTCTTCTGAAGATTTAAGTAATGCAGAGATGCTGTATAATAGCTTGTGGAAGAAAGATGTTTGAGAAGGAAAAATTGACCAGACTTGTCTTAACAGAAATGCCATGAATGGCAGGGATAAAAGCTTTAGTAGCATCAAAACAGAACTTGAGCTTGTAGAGTCTTAGATGAGGGGATTTTTTTTTTTTTTCAGTCTGACAGGGGTGTTATTCTTGTTTTACAGCTAGTTAGAATAGAGCTGTGAGTATATCAGACTTTTCTTTCTGTCTTTACTATAGTAATAAGATGACACACTTGAGTAATGCTTCATATTTAGGCATTTTCTACAGTAAGTCAATATATAAATATAAAAGGGCCAATAAAATCACAGGGTTTGCTTCTGCCTCTCCTACCTGCCCAGCCATTACACTGATGAAGTTTGTCAGCAAGAGGCAGAACATTTTCTAGTCATGTTCCAGATTGAAAATGTCAGTTATTTAAGTCTCTAGGTTACTTAGTGTTTATGGCAATAAGCAATAAAAGTTATTTAGAAGTAAATCAGTGATATAAAAATATGAGCTATGTTTTTTTTTTTTACTTAGTTTTCATACTAAATAACTCACTTCTAAACAATTCTTATATACTCACATAGTTTAGCAGAGCTGCTCATGGTAGTTTCATTTTGGTCTGTGAGTTGTAGGTAGACTTGAACTGGTCATCTTGCAGCAAAGGCTCTCAGTTTGTTTCTGAAATACTTATTTTTATATTAATGCTGATTTCTTTATGAATATCACTATCTTTATGAATATCTACTATTTTCAAGTTGGTATTTGTCTTTTTCCTTGTCATAAGCTAGTGCAAACATCTGATAGAGATGTTAAAACTTAGAGATTTGAGCCAAGTTCTTCAGCAAACTTCAAATTCTAGGGAACAGGTCAGGTTGAGGATATTTTATGACTCTAGTTTTGAAGCTGCAAATTGAAAAACCTTATGTATCCTTCAGTAATTATTTGACTACATGTTTGAAGGATAATCCATATTTTAAAAGTTTCCTTCTCTTTTGGGAGCTTAAAGTTTTTAATCAATCTGATCTAATGTATTCTCATAAATTCATGCTGGAATTTCAACCTCAAAGTATGCAAAATTATTTTCAGGTAGGCATTATTGAAGGAGATGGGTGTATCATTTCGGACATTATAAAGAGGTTTGAAACGCTGCTGTTGATAGTAAATCATTGCTTATAATGCATGTGTGCTCAACTGGACGGGCTGAAGCTTCCCCATCTACTATCACAGATGTCTTTTAAAGGTGAAATTAGTTTATGGTAAATGTCATTCCGATGAAGTATGCACTTTAGAAGCAAGGAAACAATTCCTTTAAAATTAATGATGCATTGCAAATATCAGAAAAAGCCTTCTATCCAGTATAAAGATAATTAAAATTCAGGTCAGAAGTGTATGACTTAGTCGGGCTAAATTTTTTAATGAGATTTCAGAAAATTAATTGGGCGAGTGTGTTTTTACTCTTCTAAGGAATACTTCATTTCATGGCTCTACAGGAAAGATGCTTTTATTGGCATCTAAAGATTGTAGAGTCTGACTTTTTTAACTGTTGGTTACCCAATCTTTAACAATTTTTAGGCTGATTATAAATAATCTAAACATCTTGTGACCATTTGTGCAGACTGATGACTAGTGCTGGTTTCCTGCGTGGCAATAAGACAGCAATAGAACAACTGACCTTATTAATTAACATTAGCACCCTGGGTTTGTATATTGTGCAATTAGCACTGAACATTCCCCTTTTTCAACTCGGAGTTATTTTTTTCCTGTGCCCCTGGGAGAAGCCGTCACACACAGGCATTGCTCTGCAGCATGTCAGTATGTTACTGGTGGGTTTGTCCCTCAGTACTCTCCTTTGCCTGCAACATTGATTTGGAGGCTGCTGGACGGTTTTCTCAGGATTGTTCAGGTTTTCCCCAGCTTTTAAATAATTACAAAGAAGTAAATTTGTTGGCCACACATGAATTGTTATGGAGATTGAAAATCCATCAGCAGAACAAGTCTTGCTCTTATTCTTCCTTATCCAAAAAATACAAATTCAGAGTTGTACAACTACTCATTTAAAATAATACAAAACCTGGATGGAGGTGTGATGTAGCTGTCCTGCCTGCATGTGGTTATAGCAGTGTATGGAGGATTAGGAGGAAACTGTCAAATGTCCAGCTCTAAGTTTTGACCTGTTTGTGTTCCTGTGTGCTCAGAGTTGCATGTGATTGGGCAGCTGTGGTAGCACCCTTGCAGACTTTCCTGACAATATGGAAGTAGAAAGTACATCCTGTCACCTTACTAATTCCATTTTGCGGAAAATCCCGTAACACCTCAAAATTGGAGGTGGAAAATTCTAGCAAACTTGTGTAAGTGTTGTGACAGGGGCTTCTTGTGGCATTACTCTGCCAGCTTTGAAAGTTTTGCTTTCGCTTCAGTGATTACATCTCAAAGACAAGATGTGTGCCAGAGATGTTGTTCATAATAGTTTGTTCTTGGGATAATCTCTGCCTTTCTTTGTAAAAATGAATAGCCTCTTTATTTGAATGAGGAATTAGTTTACTTCTATCTTCAGCTTTTTTAATGAAGTAGTAGAAGAATGAGACTTCATTGTATGGATAAAAAGAACAGTCTTTGTCTCAAAACTAGCTCTTTCCAAACAATCCCCTTCCTACAGCTGCCTTGGGAGCAGAAATGTGCAAACAGCCTAGTTTTCTTAGTGCCTTTAGAGGTCCAGTGATTGGATGGGTTTTTTTGGTTGGTTGGTTCTTTTTCTTTCCCTTTTTTTCTTTTTCTTTCCCTTTTTTTCTTTTTCTTTCCCTTTTTTTCTTTTTCTTTCCCTTTTTTTCTTTTTCTTTCCCTTTTTTCTTTTTCTTTCCCTTTTTTCTTTTTCTTTCCCTTTTTTCTTTTTCTTTCCCTTTTTTCTTTTTCTTTCCCTTTTTTCTTTTTCTTTCCCTTTTTTCTTTTTCTTTCCCTTTTTTCTTTTTCTTTCCCTTTTTTCTTTTTCTTTCCCTTTTTTCTTTTTCTTTCCCTTTTTTCTTTTTCTTTCCCTTTTTTCTTTTTCTTTCCCTTTTTTCTTTTTCTTTCCCTTTTTTCTTTTTCTTTCCCTTTTTTCTTTTTCTTTCCCTTTTTTCTTTTTCTTTCCCTTTTTTCTTTTTCTTTCCCTTTTTTCTTTTTCTTTCCCTTTTTTCTTTTTCTTTCCCTTTTTTCTTTTTCTTTCCCTTTTTTCTTTTTCTTTCCCTTTTTTCTTTTTCTTTCCCTTTTTTCTTTTTCTTTCCCTTTTTTCTTTTTCTTTCCCTTTTTTCTTTTTCTTTCCCTTTTTTCTTTTTCTTTCCCTTTTTTTCTTTTGAATTCAAACTCCATCACTGATCTTGAAACCTGTTCTGCAGAGACAGTACCTTGGTTTTACTGTATTCACACAGACCTGAACACTTCACCAAGCCTGAATCCATCATGAAAATGAGAAAATCTATTTTTGATGAACAGGTTTGAAGATGATGGGGGTATCTAATTTCACACACAATTTACATCTGTATATGAAAACTCTCTCAGATTGAAGAAATAAAGATCGTGGTGTATTTGAAAAAATAGATATTGGTTCTTTGACAGGTTTATGAAAAATGGTAGTGGTTAAGTTTGGAAGGACTTGAAAAAGATCATGAAGTAAGTGAAATGTATGCAAGGCCAGACTAAAGGGGTGGTACTCAGAGAAGGCAGATATTTCTTAGGTATTCTTGACCTTGTGACAGCACTGCCTCTTAATGTTTAAGTACAGCAAAACATAAGAGAAGGTTAAGCTTAAAGAGATGTATGGGGAAATGGACTGCTGTAATCCATAGGGAGCTTTCTGGCATGGTTTGGTCTAACCTGAGCTTGCTCTCTGGTTTATACCGAAATCAAACATCTTCCAGCCTGTATGAAAGCTCCAAGCTCCGTTACTTTAATTAGGTCTGATAGGTTGTGATAGCAAATGCAAATCTAGGTCATTGCATATGTAAATATGCAGCTGTAGTCCTGGAGGATGCCAGAACATATCAGCTAAGGTGTCCAGTCATCACCCAGCATTAACTCCAGCATGGCAAGCAGACTTTATGTGTTAACCATGTGAAAGTGGTTAGGACACACACATACACCCTGTCACTTCCTAACATTTATTTATTTTTTCAGGTTAGGAAGTTGCCAGATAATACTTGGCACATGCTTAAAATATTAATTTACACTTAAACACGCTTAGTTTTAACGCACAATTTAATGATTTATGAAGGGCAAATGGATACCATCCTTAACAGTAGCATGGATTTCTTCCTTTAAAAGAAAGTTTTGTGGTAGTTACTTCATAAAATCTCATTAAAACTGCTACCTTTATTGTGTACGTTAACTCCAGGTTGGAAAAACTTGCTCAGATGTTCTTGCAGCTCAAGAAGAGCTGGCTCAGGAGGCACACATTCACAGTTAAGGAAGTGCTTTGATGCCTTTCTGTATTTTAATTAGGCATAAGTGTTCTGTAGTTCTGTGTACTGACACCTTTGTTTTGGCTGGATAAAGCAATCTGACTGGACAGCTCAGTTCTTTTGCCTAGAAGCTGTTGTGTGAAGAAGCTGGGAAATGGAGATGTTAGTTACCAGTCAAGTTGAACACATCCTTGGGTTCAGACATTCTTCTGGTGATATTTAAACTAAGAAAGCTGCAGGGGCTGATTCCTTTGACTATTTGCTTGTCCGATTTCACCCCATGTTGCCTTGCTTTGTTGATGAATTAGTTACTTAAAGGTGAATGTGTGTAAATAATAAAGTAATGTTATCTTAATATTCTGCTATTTATCTGATGACCCATTGACTCCCTTTTCCTCATCAGTGACAGGATACCCCTGTTTTATTGTTAAGTATACACTGCAAAGCTTAGAGAAACAAATCCTGGATCTTCAGTTTAATTTTTATTTTGCTGTATTGTTTTAGCTTGTAAATGCAGGGTAACTTCAAGCACAGCCCAAGTACTGAGCCTAACCTTCACAAATCTTGGTGGCAGTGGTGGCTGTACAGTAAAGTTGGTAATGGGGCTTCTTTCACAGTATAGAGGAGACTGAAGTGATCTTAAAAGGGAAACTCCCTGAACTCTTGAAAGGAAACACTTGATGAAATGAGCTTCCTATTTCTGTGATTCACCTTTGTGAATGGCTGCGAATTCTCATGCACCCCTCTTAATTTGTGTAGGTTACTGTGCATGAGTTAAACTTTTTACTGTGACATCTTTAGCCTAGAAAAATTAAAACCATTTCTCATGGTGTGAAATAACTTAAACACTCATGGTGATGGAAAAACTTACCTGTGGCCTTGGCATTTCACAAGTAATTAGTCAAATTGGTGGTTCATCTGAAAAGGAGTAGGTTTGCTCTTTTAGGGAGCTTAAACTGAGAAAGCTGATGAGCACAGTGCCCTGGAGTTACATGCCTACTTGAATTAGCAAGCATTGGCTGGACACTGTGATGTTGCATTTTTGTCTCCTCTGGAGTTCAGAACTATCTAAGCTTCTCAGTTTAGCAGCAGTCCTCTCTTTTCATCACTGCTGAGCTTTATCGTGAGGAAGTTCTCAAGGGCACAGGGCAATGATGTGGAAGTGCAGGGCAGGTTCCAGAAACAAAACAGCCTTTCGCTGCCAGAGATGAGGGGGAAAGTGATGGCAGAAAGAACTGATAATGTTTCCACTGTCTGGTTTGTGATTTATGTCTCAAAAACATTGAATTTCACAACTTTGTTTACAAAACCTCTGCGAAATAACTGTGAGTGCAGTTCAGAGCTGCACAGACACCTGGAAATCTGGAAGCTTTTTCAAATATCTGATTGATACTTCTAATTCTTTGTTGAATAGTAGTCAGTTTTATTTCTGTTTCAAAGAAGAACAGCCTAAACTTACTTACTTAAATATGTACTGTAATAGATCCTCACTCTCTTGTGTGTAGTGCTGGCAAAAGATGCTGGACTGAAACTGAAGGCTTTACCTGCGTTTTGAATGCTTCTATCTCCACACCTCTGTGTCAGGAAATGACAGTGGTAGCAATAGTCATCTCCTTAAAACATCCAGCCCTCCTGGCCTGCCTTCCCTGGAGACTTGTGCTGGGATGTCTGCCGAGGATCCAGCACCAAATGGTAGCTGTATCCCTTGGATGCGCTCCCCTCAACTTCTGTTGTGTACTTGTTACTAGTTTTATGCTTTGGTTAATATTTTTGCTCGGGTCTCTGCCGTTACTCTGTGTGCACTCGCCGGTAGATGCTGCATTTCGCTGTGGCAACTGCTCCGGTACAGTGCTGTCTGAAGCAGGCAAAGACAATTGAAGGTGGAAAAGGAAAACCAGACCACTTCATTATCCATTCATTGTACATCAAATTTCTTTGTCTTTCTTCTGGTCAATCTTTACTGTAAGGAATTTATTCTCTTGAATACTAGTCACAGAACCCACTACTTTGTGGTCATAAGAAAGATACTGGGAATGCTATTGAGGATTTTGCATCACTTTTTCTAGTTTATTGATTTAATTTCTTTTATCTTGCACAGAGACATTTAACATCGTACCCGTATCGCTGCACACTGGCAGATTTTCAGATAGAGAAGAAGATTGGACGAGGACAATTCAGCGAAGTTTACAGAGCAACTTGTCTTCTGGACAGGAAACCTGTGGCATTAAAGAAAGTTCAGGTGAGCATTTTAAATTCAAAGTCTTATTATTTAGCAAGCAGAATGGGAATGTTTTAAGTATCTACTCAGATTACTTTGAGTTGGATAATTCTTTCAGTATTCTTTTGTCAGCAGTAATAATGCAATGAAATGCTTTATAAATTGAGAGTTTAAGGTTTGGGAGCACTGGATGATCTGGTTTGACCTATTTATATTTAAAAATCTGTATGTTCTCTATGGGACCCTGCTTCAATTTTGAGCCATCTGTTTGCACTTCATGGTCTCTATCCCTCATCATGTTGAAGTGGGTTTATGTTTTTAAATGAACTATGAAGCAGTGGTGCAATTTATTTTTTATTTCACTTTTTACTTTATGAAAAGGATTCACTAAATTAGAATCCAGTATATATGAAGGAATGAGGCCCTAATGGCTGTGCTCATACAGGTAGGAGGCTGCCATCTCATCACAGATAAATCATGAGAGCACAAGAATGAAAAATGCCTGCACTTGCTGATGGAGTGTTAAAAGGATTTCTGAGAACTTTCATGCAAGCCATATAGATCTGTAACTTGGTTTAAGTATTGTGCAGTGTTCAGAACAGCATTTTGTTTGAAGGAATTTGCCTTTAATCCTTCAACAGATCCTTTAAACTCGTATTTCTAATGACTAACTCTCTTGATTACTTCAGGATGAATATTAATTCCCAATATTATTGTTAATTATTACAGAGAAATCAGTGGAAGCTGTATCTCTGAAAAGAAAAAAGTCAACTTTTTTATCTTTTATTTACCGCATGGAATTAATAGAAACTTAAACAATGTTTTGAAAGTTACAGCAGCAAATTCTTTGGTTTTTTGTGCTTCTTGGAATACTGTCTACATGTTCTGCAATTACTTTTACTCTATTCCTAGCCTTTTAGTGGCTTCAAAATAAAGAAAACATTGATCTTTCTTTGATCTGGGGATCATGTGAATACTGATTACAGCAGAAAATACACAAATTAGGGGAGGCGAGACCAAGTCTTAAAACACAAAATTACTTTTTCATTGTTTTTTCTTTTCTATGTTTTTTGTCTTTGAAGATTTTTGAAATGATGGATGCCAAGGCAAGGCAAGATTGCATTAAAGAAATTGACCTCTTGAAGGTAAGATTTTTTATTTTTTTTTTACCATGGCTTTTCCTGTTTTTTTTGATTTAAGAAAAAAACTGTTTTCAGGTTGGCAAGGTTCATTTGCCTTTTTATGGCAGATAAAACTTACACAGCACACACAGTGATCTTAAAAGACCATGCTTTCTTTTGCAAGCTAGAATGCCTACATGATGAAAGAGTTGTGGTATTTTTGGGTTCTAGGTAATTTAAACAGTTTTGTCTCAAACTCTAGTTACAGAATGTTATAAACCTGCACTGGATTCATTGGGAGCAAAACATGTGAATTTATTAGAAGCAGAGGAAACTGAAAATACCCACAATGACAGGAGAGTCCAGAATGTCAGCTCCCAGCCTCCTGTGTGGGAGGACCAGAGGCAGCTTACCTTCTTGAGTGAAGCTCATCAAGAAGCCAGATACCAAATCAGGGTTATTGTAGCGGTAGAGTTGTGAAAGGGAATATGCTCTCTGCTGCCGAAGTCACTTAAATTATAGGTCACTCTCCCCATTTTAATAACATCACCAAAGCTCTCTAGTCAAGCCGTAGCAATACTAGAAGCCTGCTTCAGCTCCTTTTGAAGTCAAAATGTTGTATCTGTCTCTGAGAGAATGTATCCAAGTTTAAAATCCCTGGCTGGAATGAAGCACTATCTGTGTGTACTCTGACTATTGAGGAGTTGGTGATGGAATTGCATAGACTTGCTGTAGTCCATCCTGTCAAAATAATACTTTGTCCTTTTTGATCAAAGATTTCTCTCTGACCATGAAACCAAAGGGTTTGGTTTTTTTTTTGTGGTCTATAAGTAAATTATGATTATTCAAAACTTACCAGAAGCCAGACAAAATTGTATATTACTTTCAGTGTAATTCTGGCTAAAAGGTTTCCGTAAAGCAGCTCAATAATGCAGCTGTAATCAGTGTTAGGGCTGCCAGCACCCACACTCAGTCATTTAGAGGTGGCTTACCCTTCCACACGCCTCTTGCTGACAGTGCTGCTGTGCATACACATCAGGCATTAACTACCATCACACTTTTAGGATGCATTAAAGAAATAGGAAATGTCATGAACCCAAGAGAAAGTGTTTGTGATGTTTGGTGCATTTAAGAATCTGTAAGTATGAATATACTTCCCTTCTGACAAAAGAAAATTTCAGTGGTCTTTTCCATGCCACATGAATATACATTATTTAAGAGTCAATATGTTTATTTAAAATAAGTTTGACAAAAGGAGGAGTGGAGAATGGAAGTTTGGCTTCTCCAGAATGACCAACCTGTGTGTCCTGGGAAAACAGAACAGTAAAATGTTAGTGTAGTGGTTTTCCCAGCAGTGTGTGGGCTTCACTACCTGTTACAGTTGTACTATTTTGATGTGTTTTATTGGCATGTGGTGCTGAGGCTTAGAAAAAGGCTTGTTTGACCGCCTGAGCTCAGTGATGCCTTTGGAAACTTGTGAGAGAGTTCCCTCAGAGCATCCTGAAGAGAACAGAAAGCATCTCTTAGATCCCAGGCTTTACTGCACCTACGAGAGCAATACACAGCACCCAGCATCGGGTCTGCCATCACAGTGTGTGTGCAACGATGGGGGGAAGGCACCCTGATGTGTATTAGGTGTTGGGCTACTCAGCTTATGGTTTTGGTGCTGCTTTTTCACTGGAAGCTGGTCTTTGATCAGTGCACCTGAGAGCAGACATTTACAGGAGATTTCAACAGAAACAGTGGGCTGTGGCATTTATTTATTTATTTAAGGCTTGGGCTTGTGGGAATGTTCTTCTCCTGATGCCTGCACATGGATCCCATTAAGGCTAATGTGTGCTAGTGGCGTGGCATTGCAAAGGAGAATCTGTCCCCTAATGTGCATGCAGAGAGGAGTGATTAGTGTGATGGATCATAACAGCGTTTCTTTTGGCTTTGTAACCCCTGGAATAGACAGGTTGAGTCACAGCTGTTTAGTACATGACATGCTCACTTCAGGAGTTTCTAAATTTACTGCATTTCAAAGAGCACAAGAGGGAGGGAGAATATAGAGCAAAATTAGAGTGAACAGAGATACTGAGATACTGCATTGTTTTTTAAGCAATTACAGTTTTCCACCTTAAGAAATTCAAACATAAAATATTAAACAAGGTGAGCCCATTTCTTGTGAATGAAGTGAAACAATCTGAGAAGGTGCGAGTTTTTAAGGAATGTAGAAGGAAAAAATCTTTAGTATCAGTTGTGGCTATAAGAAGAATCTACTGAAATGAAAAAAGTAATGAGTAAAGATGCAAGCAGAAAGAATCAGAAAAATAAACTGATGTGTGCCATTTGTGCATTATTTTCCTCCATCAAAGTTTTATTAAATCTGCTCTTCTAAGGGACAAAGAGACCTCAAGGAGCATCGTAGTCAACAGTTGGGTTTTTCTTTAATGCAGAAAAAATCAATTATTGCTTAACAAATCTTCTCTCAGGGCATTGATTTTTAGCAATTTGTGAGATTAAAATAGAAAAGGTTGTTTCACACTACTTTGGGCTGTATTGCTCTTTACTCAAGACACTTTTATTATGCTGTGCTTATGATAAATGAGACTTCTTGCAGGATTTTTGTTTATAATAACTCAGAGCATGGTTTGTAGTTGCACCTATTGTGAACTGTTTTGCATAGTGATTACAGAAGCAGCACAGCTATTATATCTTAGGGTTTGCTACTACAGCGTTGAAAGCTTCTTGCATTCCTTTTTATCTGCAGCAACTGAACCATCCCAATATTATTAAGTATTTGGATTCTTTTATTGAAGACAATGAACTTAACATTGTCCTGGAGCTGGCCGATGCTGGTGATCTCTCCCAGATGATTAAGGTAAGGATGTTCCAGTTCCAGAGGTGCTACAAATTTTCAGGATTAGGCAGACAGACACAAGGCAATGGGCACATCTGTGCTAGAAGCACTTTTATTCTCTTCTCAGAGTTCTGCTCGCCCACAGGGTGCTTCCAGAGCCAAAACCGAAGTGTCTGGTGACATTATAAGCACTGAAGGCTATGCTGGTTGCTTTTGGTCCCTGCTTCGGAAGGGAGCAAGCTTCTGCATGGTTTGGTGGGATGTGTGTTATTTGCAAGGTTGATTTTATGCAGCTTGTGACTGATAGGGACATTTAATTATTGTTGGATTCTCTGTCCGCATAACCTGTCTGCCACTCTGCAGACATTCAAGAAAGTCTATTGACTTTCTTGGCAGTGGGGATTTGGGTTTGAGAAAATGTTTCAAGTACTTGTTCTTCTTTTATGTTGCTCTTAGGAATATGTGTATTGCTGCAAACCAGCTTTAGTTAAGCTGTTACCACCTGCTTTTATATTTTCTTTGACATGTTAATCTTTAGACATACATCCCTTGTGAGAACAGATGTGTTATATCAAGTTTGTTAGCACTCTCAACCTTCTCTCCATGTTTTACCTGTTTTTTTTTGCCATCATTATTCTGTAATTATCATAAATGAATGTTTGGAAAGTTCTCCTCCTCCTTGTTGTCACAGTTAAAATATCTTATTAACAGATTTGTTTTCTTTGCCAGCAGAGCAATGAGGCACTAGGCCAAAGGCTGTCAAACAAGTTACCCATTTAGTCCATAGTCAACGGCTAAATTTACAGTACCCATGAAAATCTGCTCCATCTCACAGGAGAGTCCCCCTGGGCGAGCGAGTTGGGAACAGGCAGTTGGCAGAGCTGCTCCTGGGGAGAGCCCCAGAATTCCAGATACAGCCTCATTTTACAGTGCTCAGTAGCAGGAGTGATGGTTCTGCCCCAAACCCCAGTGACTTGCACTGAAGGATGTCAGGGTCTTGGTTCTGCTCGCTGAGGGTTATGGAGGCAGAGCTGGTCCTTCTGCCTGGGGAAAGTTTGTGTGTATTTTTATCTTAGGTTTTCTTGTGACTTCTTGTATGTTTTAGCCTTTTCCCAACAGATCCTGGGAAAATTGCAGTTTATCTCAGGGTTTTTGTAGTTGTGGTTGAAGATGGAAAATAAGTGAGGATTGTGAGAGCAGGAGTTTGGGCTGTGATTGTCTTGGGGTGGGCAAGTGTTTTGCTTGATTTTTAGATGTTAGATTACAAGAAGTTTTACCTACAAAATTGTAAGAGACCATCATAGGGAATACTCGTATTCTTTGTCATTTACAGTTTCTAAGTTAAAACATTCCCTACTTTTAAACACATAATCAGTGTGGGGTATTTTTGTTTTTAATTACCTTTTTACTCTTTATAAATGGAAGCTACATTTTCCCAAACCCTCATTTCTAGATTCTGAGATTGGTAACTTGAACAGCACTGTAACTTGTGTGCTTTCTGCCAACATTCACCAGCCTGGTCTGCTTTCCCATGTGTTTATCAGGCTCGAAGAAGATGTGCAAGATTTTTTTTCAAGGTCATATAAATGATGTTTTTCCATTGGTTCAAACCCTGGAATTCCGTTCTTTTTTTTTAACAGAAGGAAAAAAAAACCCAAGTAAACAAAATTAAAACCAAGAGGGAACCAAAGTCTCCCCCTAAATATAGCTTTAACTGCAGCAGTGGAGTTTGCCTGCCTGCCCCTGAGTCACTCCACACCCTTCCCATCCCCTGGGAACTGAAGCTTCTGTGAGGATTTTCAGTTTCCGCAAGGCGGCAGGAACAGCAGAAACAACACTCTGAAGGTGTGAGAGTGATAAAAACAGGGACTATCTTTGTCACGCCCCTGGTGCCTGCATTATTTATGAGGTATTGTAAAGCTGGTGTAGGAGAGAGCTGCAGGAAAACCCACCGGAGAGCTGGGACTTTCTTGTAAATGTCAAGCAAATCTTATTGGACATGACATTTAGAAAATGATCACTTGTGGTCTTGCATATCCACTCTTAAATACTTTAATGAGAATTAAATAATTTTATTGTGTGTATAACACTTTGTCCCTCACCCTCTGCAGTTCCTCTGTGCTCTCTATCAAGTTTTGGTTTGAAACTGTTGCAATCTGTCAGATTTGCTGCCTGGGGAATTGCAGGGTTGTGCCCCTTCGCAGCTGATCTGCAAAAGAGAATTTGCCATTACTTGAGTCAAACACGAACCAGTAACAGCATTTCACATAAAATATAAGATGTGACAACGGACATCAGATGTCTGTACTGAGAGGAAAAAGCACAAGGTGCACAAAGGGGCAACAACCAATTCCCTTCCTTTATTCTTGCTCTTGCACGCCATTGTTGGAAATTCTCAAGGGTACGATGCAAAAGAAATGCAGTTGTAGTGTGCTGGAAAGGAAATACAGTGTGTGAGGTAGTTATCCAATGGCACCTTGTATATTGAAGGGTGAGGATAAATCTTAAACCTCTGGAAGTGTATTGTGTGTTGTGTTAATGCTCTGGATGAAGAACTGACTTGGTATCTAGCATGGGAAGAAGCAGCGAGAAGTCAGAGACTGCTAATCCAAAGCAGTGAAAAGTCAGGGATCACTAATCCAAAGCAGTGCTGTTTTGGGATGCCTTGGGGAAGCTATCACACTTTCCATGTGACATACATGGCTGTTGTGCATCTTTGAAATGGGAAAAGAGTAGTTGAATATATATGTTTAGTCTTCAGTGAAGAAGCTGGATATTTATTCCTGTAATAAGTTGCTTGGGAAGAAGACTTTAGTATTGCAGAGACCAATCATTGTGCTGCAGTCCTTTGTGTTGTGTGTGTTATACTTAGGATTATTTTATTTGAGAGCTAGAAGTGCCCAGAGGTCCGTGGAATCTGGACTCAGCTCTGCTTGGTGCTGCTTAAATGCACACAAACCAGTCTTTTTCCAGATCTGTGTGTCTCTTGATCAGCAGTGTCTTTCTGTCTCATCAGAGATAGTTCAGTTAATTTAGTATTCTGAGTATGCATGTAATAGAATATATTCTTCTGCCTGATCACAGAAGAAACATGGATACTTTATTGATGCTTTGGCCATCTTTTAAAATAGGAAACAGATCACCTTATTTCTGTTATAGGCTGTACAATAATGAACGTTTGCAACACAATTTTTTTTAAATGATCTTTTGTTACTTAAAGCAAAATATTTGAGACATTTGTTGTTTTGAGGCGTTAAATATGTTTTGCAAGGTAATTAAGGAGATTAATGCTAATCATAATTGGTGTCCATTCAAAAATGTCAAACCTATCGAAGCATATTTTTCATAATAGTTGTTAATTAGTGAGCTGCATTGAAGCTTACATACAGAGAGAAGGAGTTAAAAGCTAATCAGAAGAAAAGTCATGCTGCTGCAGATCTGGAAGACATGAGTAACCTGCAGCTGACGAACGCAAGTCTAGGAAGGAGTCAAATATGATGCTTTTTCACTGATCTTTTATTTATTTCCTCCCACAGTATTTTAAAAAGCAGAAACGGTTAATCCCGGAAAGGACAGTGTGGAAATATTTTGTGCAGTTATGCAGTGCAGTTGAACACATGCACTCCCGCAGGGTGATGCACAGAGGTAACATTAATTCAGTCTCTTTTCACTGAATAATAATATAATGTTCCAATTAGTAAGCGCCTACATTCAAAAACAATTATGCTGATGTTCAGCCAATGCATGTTTAGAGAGGCTGGAGCTTGCAAGATGGATTTCTCCTTCTGTCTCTTTGCCTCATTGTTAAAGGATTCAGTCCGAAGTGAGCTGGTATTAGGAATATGAGCTGCTTTGTATTCCAGACACTGTTACTAAGTAGAAGTGTCAAACTTGCCATTAGGAAGGTGTCAGAACTAAAATGCTGAGACTACTGGATACAGTAACTCTTAAGAAATAGTCTTCATTATATTAGCTGTGACCTTAGAGAGTTTAGAAGAGTTTTTCCATCTTGCAAGTTTTCCTGAAATATTAATACAAATATGTCCCACACTCTCATAATCTGGTCTCTATTTTCATTAAGTATTTTTTCATCTTGTCTTAGAACTTTTTGTAACTTTGAACCTTACACAAAAATTACACTGCTTCTTTCAGCCTAAGTGAAATGCTTTGTGAAGGACTTGACCCAGGAAATGCAAATATCCCAAAAGGCACCAATCTGTGCTTCTCGTTGTTTCAAAAGAGAAAGGAAACAGTGAATTCTTTACTTTTTTTTTCAGCAATGTGATACTATTTTTGCTCCTTTATATATCCCCTGATGCAGTTTATCAGTTGCAGTTAGGTCTGTAATTGCTGGCTGAAATTTGGAGCCTTGCATATCTCGTCATCTTTAATGTGAGGAAAGAGCCTCAGTGACTGAATCCTGACATGACTGCTGGGGAAACTGGAGTTCTAGTAATTTTTATGCTCCATGAACAAATTGGGCTGTGTAGAGCCGAGAATTTATGTATATAGGGGACAATGACTGGTCTTTGGTGTGAGGGGACAATGGTGAGCAGTACAGTTTCCTGTAGAAAACGATAATTTCTAAAGAGAAGCAGACTTGTTCCTTTGATGTCCATCAATTAAAGAGGTTGCCTCTATTCTGTTGTGCTGTTTCCTGCTTCTTCCCTCATTGGTATTTCTTGTATGCTGGGAAGTACACTCTGATTTTTGTGTATGTGCAGAGCTTGAAGTCTTGGAAGGTTCAGCCTATCAAAGCTGTAAAGAAACACAGTTCTGCTGGAGCTTCTTTTGTACAGAGAGTGCTCCAGGCTATGTTTCTATTGCAGCATTAGAACCAAATAACCTTTTGTGGCTTTGACCTTTTACCTTTTTCTTCTTGCAGACATAAAACCAGCCAATGTGTTTATAACAGCCACAGGGGTGGTGAAGCTGGGAGATCTTGGATTAGGCCGTTTTTTCAGTTCTAAAACCACTGCAGCACATTCCTTAGGTAAGATGTTAAGCAAGCACAGCCATACAATTGTCAGCTGTGATCTTCAAAAGAAGTGGTATCTGTCCTCTTACTGTGACAGAAACTTGACTCAGTGGATGCATGCTTATATTTTCTGTGATATGTATTTAAAATACTCTTCATATAAAATTAAAGAGGTATTTTCTGGATTAAAACTCCACCTGATATTTGTTTCTGGAAGATCTGGCCTGGTAAGCGTATATGATTTATATATAGCAAATGCAACAAATGCAACTTTTCTGCTCAGAATGTTTGCCTGTGCTCTGCTGACTAGAATTAAATGCTAGACCACCACCATTTTTAGCAGATGTTGGTCAGCTCTCTGACCCTGAACAGGGATTATGACTGTCATCCAAGGTGAGGGAAGTGTTCAAAACCTTCATGGTTCATCTGTTCCAAGAAGAGACTTCCCTTGAAACCCAGCTTAGTCTTTAAAGATAAGAGTTTTCTTCATGTCTTCTACATATCTCAGGATTGTTTTCCTGTTCCTCTGTTAGTGCAGAAAATTCTTGCCAGAGCATAGGACCTTGCTCATTGAATTGTGTCCTCTTTCCAGATGCTCCTACTTGTGATAACTCTGAATTTTTATTCTGTTTTGCTTTGGTTCATCCCAGCTTCTTGTTATCCGCAAAGGCAATAGCATCACCACGGTCCCATGTGTTAATGCATGTGTTGAACAGAACTAGAGCTGTTGGCTGTCTTGTAGGACTTCACTTGAAATAGCCTTCTAATTTGGCTTTTCCAACCAGTTTTGCATCCGTTAAGTAGCTTCATTTAGAACAGATATAGCAGTTTGCTTATAAGTAAAGCTATGTAGGCCTTTGATAAAAACATTACAGTTGTAACACATCTGTTGCTTCTGCTACCTCCCTATGAGGCCTCTTGCCTTATCATGGAAAAAAGAAATCATTTGTCATGTTTCATGGACCAGTCATAGTGATGGTGATGTGTTTCTTGCTCTTTTTACTGTGTTTTACAAGTGGCATGATCATACCTGCAGCATTTTTGTAGGAATTCATATGAGGTTGGCTGGTTTAAGCAACTGGGTTCCTCTCTCCCTCATTTTTACCGCTAACATTAACTACAGTGCTACAGAAAAGTATCCAGCACATACAGTTCATTCTTTAAGTTTTTCAGTGTGAAGTATTTAACAGTTGTGTCCGTAACCTCTTGAGAGGTGGCTCGTTTTCTGCTTTTATTAATGGGTCTCAATTTTGAGTCACAAAGGTACCTTCTGTGTTACAGCAGTGGAGGACTTCAGCTTTTAGTACAGTATTTAAGCTCTTTTACATCTAGCTCTCACAGTTGATTTGGCAACACAGTGTTTGTTTTGCATCTTTTGTTGTCTTTGTGGGTTTTCCTCCACGGAGTGCCAGTCTTGCTCTATTGTTTCTTATATGGGTACAAACTTAATTGATAATATTCACCAACCATACTGGTGTTTCTCAGTGCACAGGAAAGGAAGAGAAATGACATATTTTGTGTCTGTTTTTTTACTTTCATAAAATGTTATGAAATTTCCCTTTGCATCAAAAGCTATTCTGGGTTAAATCTATTTAATTAAATACATGCTAAATAGATTAAAATAAATCCTCTTCACAGAAAGTTACAATCACATCATCTGAACAGGCAAAAATATGATTGTGTCTAATGATATCTTACCTAGGTTGACTGCTGCACTTATTATATTAATAAGAATAAATTGGGGCTTGGAAACTGGCTGCACATGTAAGCCAAGCTTGTGACCTTTACCAGGGTTGCTCCCTCTTAATTGATAAAGCTTGTGTAGGAGGAGTTCAGCCTCTTCTGCATGAACCTTGCCCTTCCTTAAATCAGCATCCTCCTGCAAACAGGTGAGAGGTGCACAGCACTGAGGGAGCAGCAGTGAGCAATGTTGGAGACAGTGTGGTGTGTTGTGGGGAGGGGTGGACGCACCAGTGGTTCTTGTATGCCTTTTAACAAAAAAAATATGCAGACTTGAAGCTTTTCTCTTTTTTTTGGTCATTTGCCAGGCATGCAGGTTTTGTAGCAGCAGGAAATCTACTGATCTTGGTTTTAGTTTAATTAAGACATTTATTTAAGTAGCTGTGAATGATAAGCACCCCACAAACCAGAGCATGGTACCCGCACGGACCCAGGCTGTGATGCCGGGCACTTCCCATATCCACGTTGCCCCGGCAACCGCCCTGCACCATCATTTTTCTGGCTGCTGACCCATGAATTGAACACACGGCTTATGCAAATATATTCAGCTAATTTTTTTGTGTCTTTCGTTGTATTTGCTAGCATCAGACTGGCATAAAAGGGCATTAGGCAGTACCACGACCCGTCTGACAGGTGTAGCACCGGGCTGCGGCATCGTGGCCGCCATGGTGTCAGGGATGGGAGCTGTAATTAGAGCAAGGAACAGAATGCACGTCAGATGAATTACCAGGCAGCAGATCATATTTGTCAGGAAGGATTGCATACATAAAAATTAAGTGACAGTACATGCCGGGGTAATGAAAGAAAAATGAAAGATTTGCCCATACACAGCTCGTGAGATGCAGCCGAGCGCCCGGCTTGGAGCAGCAGCAGGATGCCTGACTGGCGCCACGGCATGTGACCAGGAGCCTGGGAAAGCCCCAGCCCCTGGACAACCTCCATGGGCAGACCTGTGAGAGAGGAAATGTGAACACCTCTGGTCTCACTGAGTAACAAAACTGTTGGGAAAGGCAGCATCATTGTGGGATGGGTGATAAACACCAGAAAGCAGCCAGGGGCTGGAGGATGTGGGTGGATTCACCAGCTGGTACCTCTTCTGCCACTTTCCCTTTTGCCTTGTATGACTTGTGAGCAAAGACAGGAGATGCTTTTCCATGGGGAGAGCTCTTCATTCACATACTTTACCAAAAAACTCCCTTTTTAATGGTAACGAGTGTAGCCAAGTTGAATTTTACTACTTACAACAAGCTCCAGGATTTAGTTTAGTGGAAATGGACTCGCGTATCACAAACTTCATCTTATTGTGGGGATGTGGGGAGAATGTGGGACAATTCAGCTTTTCCTTGGTGAGTTTTGAGGTGGGGGGAGAAGAATGCAGTTAAGCACTGCTTATTATTATCATGAAAAACTTTTACAACCGTGTGGTTTGGGTTGGTTTTTACAGTCCTGGTGTGTGATTCGCTTCAAGGTGTCATCTCTTTATCCAAGTTTTCATAGGGCTAGTTTTTTGTCTGTTCTTAATGTTTGGTTGTGTCCCCTGTTTGTTTTGTTGATCTCTGAGGTGGGCAGAGACTTTGGAAAACAGCATAGTCTTGGGAAAGCTTAACAGTAAGCTCATAGATTTTGTTTTACTAGGAGCTGTAACAAATAGAGAATTTCCATTAATGTTAAAATGGGTAACTTTATTGTGAACTGTTGTAATGCCCACTTTTAGCCAAATAAACTTGGCATTATCCAAAGCTGCTGGTTGGTTTTATATTTTGAAGAAAAAAAGGGGAACAGCCACAAAACCAAACAATAAAAAACCCAAGTAAATTTTCACAGAATAGTCTTGTTTTGGAGCAGATGATTTATTATTTATTCTTGGACAAGAATAAACTTGGAGCAGATTTTCCTTCTGGGGGATGCGTGTAAGTCAAAGCTTCCCAGTTTAGAGCGTGCAAACAGCCGTGGCCTGGAATACGTGGGGTGTTACACGTTCCTTCTGGTTTCTTGTTGGATATGAGGGTGAACAGGGAGGAACTGCAGTCACGAGAAGAGCTCTTTTATAAATGGACTATTTGTCTTCTTTCTTTTGCTTGCCAAGCCAGTTTGCCATCTGACACAAAATCACAGTACTTCAAGGGGTTAGTAAACAGTACTTATGAAGAAAATACGGACACAAGAAATCCACTTAAAATAAACCAAAAATATATAAGGACTTTGGTAGAGTTATGTGTGTAATTAAGTACTAGTAAGACAAAAATAGAGCAACGGGTCTTGTAAAAACGGCTGAAATACTGTACACAAAGTACTTGTTTTCTCTGGTAAGAATTAAGTAGATTTTCTTACTGCTGGTTTTTCCCTCACCTGAAACAATTCATGATGGAACCTCACACTGAGACTTGAAGGAATTTAAAGTGTGTCTTAGTGCCTTTGACTGCTGTTTCACGGTAATTCCCCAAAGTTGAGCTAATTCCCACATTCTTCTTCTGGGAAAAGACCTCAGCCTTCTGGTTGGGAATATACCCCAAGTAATGCAAACATTTAGAAACAGATACTTAGGAACTAGACTCCTTTTAAATAATGCTGTAACCTTTCTTGGTGACCTTCCATATCTGGAAAGATGAAACAGGTGAGAGCCGTGGACTTCCAATTGCAAGTAGAATTCCTTCCTACCAGATACTACTAAGACATGCTGAATATTTTGCTCAACTGCACGTCTGTTCCTGTAACATGCAGCAGTGTCTCTTGTATGTTAAAGTTAATAGTTCTGGAAATAATTATTGTAGTTTTTTAACTGGGTGGTTTTATGTTATTCATGGATGGCATCTCAGGTTTTTGAGCATCATTCTTTGCCTTTTTCATTGGTAATGAGCATGTTTCAAAAATCACAAGTATTTCAAAACATTGCAAAGTTTGTTTTGACAGGAGTGCAACAGCTCTAGAATGAAGGAGTGCTTTAATCAGTATTACCCCTTTGAGGCCTGCGTTGTGCTCTGATATCTCTTAGTTTGAAACTGGGAATACTCTGTAAAGATACAATAAAGGTCAGATTTTGTTAGGTTCTTTCATATTCAGAACTCTGTTCCCTGCTGTGAGCAAGAGAAGTGATAGATTTGGAAACACTTTCAGCTCACCATTAAAGATTAGCTAGAAGGTGCTGGTGAAGGCATAAAGTAAAAGCTTTCGTTATCGTTTGTTCTTGTACTTTGCAGCCAAATACAGCTTTGGAGTTTGGTTAATTTGAAGAAATGTTTTTTTTTAATAGCATTTAAAAAAACCCAACGTGCAGAGCCTATTAAAATATTTGGAAATATTCTGCACTGATTTCAGTCTAATGACAATCTGTCTAACGGTGTGGGAGAACTGCTGCTGCAAGGGACTTGTCTGTGGTACGTTAAATTTGGTGAATGAAACTCTGATAGAGCCTCTTGAAAGTGTGAATCAGATTTTCTCATGTTTCTGCCTATGAGAAGCTAAGGATGAATTCCACAGGAAGCGTTGATCTGTATTTGCTTGGGGAGCAGCTCTGTATAGAGGTAACAGTCCTGTGTGTGGCTGTACTAATAACCCAGCTACCATCACTTTCATAACAAAACTCCTGATTCAAGCTAAAAACCATTTTCAAAACAGGTGAGTGTGATCTTGCCTGTGTAGAAGAGACTTGCTGTGTTCAGGAGTAATGTAGCTCTTCACCTGGGTGTTTCTGTGGCAGATGTGGGAATTAAGCTCAGAGTACTGTGTTGTTGCATGGGTAGGGTTTTTTATTCAGACTGTATATGAGAGGAAATGAATTTGAATTTTATTGCTGGAATAACTTTGCCTGCATGTTTTCCCAGCAAAACAAGAGACTCTGCTCCTAATCTAACTGAATAATTATGCTTTCACTAACGTGAGTGCTGCAGATACCCCAGATGTGTTCTGGTCTGTGTGGGTGTTGTAGTTGTGCATCCAGGCAGTGTTGGGGAGAGCAGGAGAAACGTTCTGGCATTGCTGAAGTAGGCTGATCTTCAAGTGCAGTGTGTTGACTTTTCAGGAATAGAATGGGAAGATGCTTGCTTACTCAGAATCTTCTTCTCTACAGTTTTGTGACATTTTGAACTTTAAAGGCATTACTCTACCAGCTGGTGACTAATTCTGAATCTGAACAATGTTTTGTATTTTCAGCAGGGCAAATGCCAGAGAAAGTTTCTGATTAGTAGTGTCCAATTAGACTGTTCTTGCCAAATTGACTAATGTAATGCAGTGGTGAGCCCTGACTGATTGCACTGGAAGCCTTGTGAGGTTTTCTAGAAGATGCTCATTACAGGAGATTCCCATGTAGTGTTGGAAAGCCCGTAAAGAGAATTGGGCTTGTCAGTCTTGTGTCATGACAGTGATTTAAAAATTAATGCATCAGTTGTGAGACACAGAGAGCTGCTTGTTGGTACGTTTGCTGACAACACTACAGTAATGATAGGTAAACGCACAAGGTAGACTTCATAAAATCAGCTCAGGCGTGGGCTTCTCCACAGCTCTATTAATATAATGGAACAGACTAATCAAATACGGGCTATAAAGCACTCATCCATGTTACAAACCCTGTCATTGTGCTTTGATCGAAGGTCGGTTTAAGGCATTATCTGAAATGACAGTTTTACCCTACCAAGCAGACCCCTGCTAACGTGGAAGGCAAGGCCGTAACTTTAGAGCTCACACGTTACTATTTGCTCTGAGCTTTTCACTCAGTGACCCAGAGTAACTGATGGCAAGAACAGCTACAGCTGGAGGCTGCCCCTGGCCCCAGCTCTCAGAAGCACAAAGACTTCAGGAAGCAGGAGTGGGAATGATGCTTGTGTCCCCTCCTGCCAGATGTGTGCCGCTGTCTGCCTATGCTCAGCTCCTGTGCTCACTGTCAGCAAAGGGCTAATGAGTCGACTGCTTCAGCTGCTCTAGTAGCTCTCCTGGCAGACGTGAGAAAAGCAGCAGCACTGGGAAGGAAGTTGAAGGTAGGGAAGTGTCTTACACACTGGTGCTCAGTGGGGACTTCCAAAACTGTCTTCAAGAACTTCACATAATGAATCACCATTTCTTCTGGAGCTGCATGTTTTTAAGCAGGAAAATGAATCAGTGCTGTTCCAACCAAGTCAGTTCTTGTACAGAAGTCTGGCAAATGTGTAGGAATTACTTGGAGAGCTGTACTGTCCATTGTGTGCATCTTGTGTGCACATGGGAGAGATCCTTGGAAAGCCTTGTGTTCTTTGAATGTCCACTCTTGGTGTTCTGTGAAGTTACTCTCTGCAGTCTGTTTAAAAGTATTAACTATTAGCAGAACTTTTGTCTCATCTGTACATAGAGGCCTTTTGCTGGCAATTAAAAGCAGCCAGATCTGGGACAGTGTCAGCTTGATGTGCTCCCAATATGGATATGGGATTACAGAGCATGGAAATACAATAATCTCCATGTGGGTTTTTTTTCCTGTGCTGTTGTAGTTTGTATAGAATTAGCAAAAATGTTATTTCTTGTTAGAGTACTCTTCACATAGAAAGTGAAGTAATTTCTTGCTTGAATGACCTGCAAACACAAGCTGAGTTTATCATATAGGGTAGCTAATTACCAAAAGTCTTTAGGGACCAAATAAATGAGCCAGTCAGGGCAGTGGTTGTCTTTCTGGTTACTTGTTCTATTCTGGTAAGTAGAATTTTACATATGTATTCCTGTAATACCTTATGTTTCACACCAATGCCATAGGATTACTTTCAAGCTATATCCTATGTTTCTGAATAGCTCTGAGTAAAAGTCATTGAGGTTCAGTAGGCTCAAGGCTTGGGCATATAAATGCCTGACAGAAAAAGTAGAATAAAGATTGAAGTTGAGGTTTGTGATGTTTTTTGTTTTGAGGTAAGCTGCGTGGTTTTTACCCCAGAGAAAGAATATACCTTGAGTATTTAAGGTGGTGTGATCTGTGCACTTGGCAAGGTGATTTTTGCCTTTTGGAAAGCTGTTGCTTTCTGTCCCAGAACTCATTTGCTTCCTGCAGTGTGTGAACCCTCTCTCTAGAAAGTCAGGGGAAGGGGATGGCTGTTCTTCCTCCTCCACCTCTATCACCATCCTTCATCTGCTTGTTAGTCTTCCAGCTGTCTGTAGTCAGCATTTCAAATGGAGAAATTGTAAACTGAATGTTACAAGCAAATTAAACATTTGCCATCTTGTGAGGAAAGGTCTTTAATTAGGAGAAGGATACACTGGGATGCCAAGAGCAAAGAAAAAAAACCAAAATTGACAGGGGATGGGGAAGCAGGAGAAGAGAGAGTGTATAAAGTCCTTGGATGTTTTAATAAATGATGTATCTGAGGATTATTTGATGTAGCTGAGACTGCCAGGATGTCTTGTATTTTCAGTACCAGAACTGAAACTTATTTAGGATTTTAAAAAGAACCTTTTTGAGGTAAGGAATTTATTAATAATTTCCTGTGACTTCTGTCCAAAATGCTGGGGTAAATTTCTTTTGATAAAATACAGACTTCTGGAAGTACATGGAAATGTTGCAGCTTCTGACGTGACTGCAGGCTGCAGAAGTGTTTTAAAGTTTAGAATGATTACCTTGGTTCTTTCAGAAAGTTTCTGAATACCTGTCTGGTGCTGGGCTTGTTCCTTCCATTTCTCTGCAGCAGTAAATGGTCTCCTGAACTGCTGTAAAGGGTACCCCGGCATATCAGGAGCTGCCCTGTCATGCTGCGAGCGAAGTGTGTGTCAGGTGAACGTTCAATTGATACGCTGTCACAGGAGCCTTGTTTGAGCAGAGCACATTTCATGACATCTAACTTGCAATTTCAGTGCTGTTCAGTGAACCAGCAGAGGATGATCCTTTACGAGTGCTCTGTCCGCCTCAGATGCTCTGAAGGTACTTGGAAGACTGGCAGGGGAAGAAAATATTCCTCAGATTTCAGACAGACACAAGATATTTTCAGTAGCGCTCCCCAGCCCTCTCGCTCCGTGTGTGATGATATATTTGGTTCCACACCTTCAAAACCACGACTTGTTTCCACGTTTTTGTGCCAGTCTCATCTAATTAGCTCTTCATGCTAAACCTAATCCTTAAATGATGTCAAGCTTCTGTTTAATCCAGGTTGCACAGTCGCTTTCTGGAGATGTAACTCCTTTTGTGTTTTTGTTTTTACAGTGGGAACTCCATACTATATGTCCCCAGAAAGAATACATGAAAACGGCTATAACTTTAAATCCGATATCTGGTCTTTGGGCTGTTTATTGTATGAGGCAAGTATCTTCTAACTGTTCTTTTTCCCCAGGTTTGTCTTAACCACACAATTCAGTGCAGGAATCAAGTAGGTCAGACTTTCCTTTAGTTGCATTGCTGAAAAACCTTCTTGAGAAGTTAACTCACTGCTCATCATGTGCTTTTTGAGTATGAATAACAAAGGGATTGTGCCACCCAGCACTGTACTTACACAAAGGGAATTCAGTAGGTCATCGTAGATGTTGAAGGTACACACATAAACAGGCCAGCTTGCTGCATTCTTTCTTCCTGTGTGAGCAGAGCTGCTATTAGGGCAGCATATTCATAGTTTGTCCTGAATGCTGCATTTGTTTCAAAAACAGTAAATGCATTTGAAGGTAAGCTATTGTTTTTTTCAGTTGAATTGTGACCAATTGGAATATTTTAATTTTGGGACTTTTCAATAATGAAAAAGAGAGGTTTTATGTAACGTGAAATCAGTTTTTCTAGCTCTATTAGACTATAGCTGAATTTTTTTCTGATTGCACATTGTCTTGCACAGATACAAGGCCAGGAATGTCTTATATCAACTACACACTTAGTGTGCAACTTTTCCTTAAAAGCTGTTACATACAGTTTGAAGAGAAGTGCTCTGATTTTGTAACAGTACTTTGAGTTTTGTGGTTTCATTTTTAGCAGGGATCAAAGGTATTGAACAGTCTTATATTCCTTATCTAATCTTAATCCTTTTTTAAGATGTACGTATCTTTGAATTCAAGTGAAAGTGCATGTCAACATTTAGAAAGCTTTTATCCCATCCCAGAGAATTAAAAGTCCCAGAGATATTTAGTAACAAGAATATTGCTCACATCCTTTTTGGATAATAAATTATGTGAACTGGCGACATTTTGCTTTTCACCACAATGTCTTGTAACCACATGGAATTAGAGAATAAATAGAAGGGTTTTATACTCCTACTAGTGTCTGTCCATCCAAGGACTGTATCTCCCCCAAGCTTCAGACAGTCTGCTCACAGCTGCTGACTGCCCTGTGCACTTGACCTGGCATAGAGCTTCAGTAAGTAAAAGGATTTTTTGGGTGCCTGGCATACATGCCCCATAAGTCACCCTGAGCACTGTGAAGTTCCAGCATTGCCTTTACTAATACCAGAGCAAATAGGCACCAGATCTGCTGGAGGGAAGATCCACTTTGATGGAGACATGGGAGCTCGACATGGTTGTTTCACTTTTACATTGTTAAAATTCCATGGGTTGGGAGAGAGAGAATACCCTACTAAGTAATTGATCAAAAATATTTCGGAAATTATGAACTTCATTTAAGTGGCTTTGTGCTTATCCTCTAGTTCTCCTTACCTCTAGTGAAAGAATTGAAGCAACATGCCATGAACAAGTTAATTTTTATAAGGGAGGGTTTTGCTTGTAATGCTTTTAAAGAGATGCTGAAAACTGGAATGATGCAGTATAGCTGTATGTACCTGGTCTGCTGGTGGTATTTCAAAAGGAATTTGGAGATTCTTCTGTGGGAGCAGGGGGAAGGCAGCCCAAGCTCCCAGTAATTCATTATGCTGAGCAATTCCAGGTATGCTTCATATAGAAGAGGAATTCTCGGTTTAAGGCTTTGCTGAGTCGAGGACTTTGGCCCTGCCATGGTGTGTTGGGCTTCCCAAGTCTGTCAGTAACATCCAAAGTCACCCAGATTGGACACAGCTACTCATTTGCTGCTGTAGTGAAACGGCTTCTCCGTCAGGCTGCTCTGAGTCACTTTGGAGGCTGAGCTCTGCTGGAGATGGGATTCCAGATTTATGCAGAGAGAAATATTTAGCGTTGTGCTAAGATGTGTTTTTGTTGCAGGCAATATGGTCCCCTTATGGCACAGTAGTCTTGGTACTCCTTATACTTCAAGAAGCTGCCTTAATTGCACACTAAACATAATTCTCTGGTAGGAGTAGCAGTACTATAGTATCATGTGAAAGATCTGGCATGTGAAGCGTTCTTAAATTTACTTCCTACGTAGGTAAGCCTTAACTTTGTGAACAGGAGCTGGAAGATCTTGCAGCTTCCAAGGGGGCCTGGACAGTTACCAGTTCTGTGCTCAGTAGAGAAACAGCTACTTGGCTTTTAAAACTTTGTAGAATTTGGAAAACTAAAACTCAAGTTGGTGTCTCTGAAGGAGCTGTGTTTTATCTTCCCTAATTCCTTGTAATGAGAATGTTTTTCCATTTGGCTTTAAAAGTAAGGAAGCGATGCTTGTTTGGTTATGAGTCACTTCTGATATTTCTCCAGATAGATTGCATAGATAAGCTGCAGAGAGATTTAATGTACAAATTGCCTTCAGAGACGCGCGTGTCCACTAGAATCCACTTAGGGAACATTGAGGGGTTTGGGACGTGATGCCACATAGCACCACTTAACTTTGATGTTGATAATCATACAGTGATTTTTGTTCAATCTTATCAATATAGTAGTAACTGTCTTCATCCTTCACTTCTTGTAGATGTCTGTCAGCAAGATAACTTGGGAGGGGATAAAAATAAGTTGTTAATTCCCAGAATATAGCTACAAGCAATGACTTTAGCAGTTCTGGCAAGACAGTCAATTTAAACACTAACAGTGATTCTTCTCTTTATATATTTTTAACCAGTCATACTGCATGGTGGTCATTTTAAATGGAGATCTGAGTGTCCTGCAGTAATTGCTCTAATCAAAACGTCAGGAACAAACCCCAGCGTGGCATCACAGACTGTTGGTAGTGAGATATTTGAGTGCGTGTGGTCACAACCCCTGCAGACCTCACTGTTTCAGTCAGAATGTGCTATCTGTTTCCATTTCAATTCCCTGAGTTTACCACCCCAAAACCCTGCGGTGTTTCCTCCTCTTTTGCACATGACCGCTTAACTAGACTTGGAAAGAAAAGTTAATGGGAATTGAAAACTCCCTTTCAACCTTACTGGCATTATTGATGCTTGTATTGAAATATCAGAGACCTTGTTGAAACCTCGATTGCCTTCTGTGCCTTCCCTAATGCACCCATTAGTGTTGTTCTTAGACCAGTCTGGCGTGCTGGTCTCTCCAGTTTTGTTTTAACTGATCGAGAGCAGTTTGCTATCGATCTTTAATTGGAGATTAGAGTCTCTAATTGGAGTATGTAATTTTTTTCCCCACTGATTTGCCTGTTACTGTTAAGATACTACTTCACCTTTTACCTTCATAAACCTCCACAAGGCCTCAAGCACAGGGTTGTTGGGGCTCCATTCACTGGCCTTTTGAGCAACTCTTCAACCTCAGGGTCTGTAGGGTTTATGAGGAATAGCTTAGCATTAGTATTGATAATAGTGGTGAAACTCAGAGAGGTCAAAGTGTGCCCATTCCCCAGCCTGCTGCTTTGTGCAGCTGTTAAAGGTGTAATTCCTCTTCTTGCTCGCCCCGCAGCAAAGCACAGTAAATGTCACTAGCACAGCAGATATCTCAAGCTACATTATATGAAGCCTTACAGACAGAAAACAGAGCAAGCCTGGAATTTTCGGAGCTGTTTTGAGGAGCAGTGTACTCGGTTCATTCTGTCCTTCAGTGTAATTTGGGTACCTTTTGTATATTCTGTGTTGCTGTTTATAAGCCTCTTTGGATATCTGATAAATACCTCTGGAAGAGCTTCCTGAAAGGTATTTGGTACACAAGGAGATAACTTAAGATGTATTTCTGGACAAATTTCCTATTACTTACAATTGCTCAGAACTCATTGCAGAGGGTCTCCTACCTCGGCTGCTTTGTGCAAGGTGACCCCCTACAGCTAAGTCACGGAGGAACCAACTTGCAGATAAGCAAGGAAGAAACATAAGAACTTTAAGTTACTTAAGATAGGTTTATGATTTAAACCAAGGATAATCCATCAGTCTTGATTCCTGACTGCAGGATAATAGATTGGAGGACCTGATATTGACTGGGGCTTTTTTAACTCTGCTGGGAGCTTGCTGTGTGTGTCAGCAACAAGACAGCATTCCTCAGATGGCTTTCACAGTGCATGGTAATGAGCAAAAGACTAATAATCATCAAATAACCCCTTATTAAAGCCATAGTGAGAAGTATCAACTTGAGCTGGCCTCAGTATGAAAAGCCTGCCAATTTGGTGTGCCTTGTAGCAAAATGGTTTAAAAAGATCTAAACAGAGCAGATAATTTCCCCCATTCTGTGGTGGTCCTTCATTAGAAGGAGGTATTGCTGTGCTGCGTGGGGCTGCCTCTGACAGGCACGAGGGGGATGAGCAGTGCTTGAGTAACACCCTGGCCTAATAAGCAGATGGGCCCAGCATGGCCCGTGCCTGCAGGGGGTCTGCTAGGCTTGGGTCCTGGTGGGGGGACATGAGAGGGAAGGTGCTGTGCTCATCCTCTGTCCCTTCAGTACACACAGCTTAGGCCACACACTCCAAGTTCAAAAAGGCCTGCGTTGCTATGGCTGTTTTTCTGAGGCTCAGCGTGCAGTGGTGGTTATGACCCTCCTGGTTGAGAACTTCCAGTGTAAATGGCTTTCCACACAAAGATGCAGTTTCCTTCCTGAGACTTAAGGATAATATAAACATTTCTTTGTAAGGAGTCCCTGCGTGCCCTGGAAGGAATTCTTTCCCACCCAGAGCCTCCCATCGTGCTCTCCTTGCTGTGTGAACAGCCTGTTTATCTTGGACATCTGTCATTATTTTTGGAGATGCAAATACTGGATTCATAAAACAGAATTGAGAGAGGAAAAAGGAGATTTATTGGGAAAAGTTTCAGTAGTTTGGTTCCCAAATCTGCCTGGGATACTCTTTTCTAACTAGCAGATTTCTGGCAGGAGGGGTTGTTTGTTTTGAGGTCGATTGGGTTGTTTTAAAAGGCTGAAGTACATTCCTCATGCTTACAGGATTCTTTGTATTCTAGGTAGCTGAATGTCCAAAAATAACCCATTTATTCTTCGTAGCAGTCTATTAAAAATCTACCAGCTGCAGAGAGCAAATGAACTGAACACGGTCATGACTGAGGAAGATTGAAAGCAGGACGTTATCAAAGACAGAGGAGATGATTGTGTTCATGAGAGGCTTTCACAGTCGCCTTTGAGCCAGTTGGTTTCTAACTGATTGGCCTATGGTCCAAGCATCCTATTTCTTGTTTAGCTGGTTGATTGGTGTTTGGGGTTTTTCTTTATGAAAAAGGTACTTTCCTCTGTGCAAACAGAAGCAGCTTTGGCTGTGGGCAGTCTTGGAGAGCAACATCATCATCTGCTCACTGTCAAAGAACAAAATTTGTTCTTGCAAATCAGCAGTACTGAGGGCTATGAAATCCTTTCTGTTTCTGAAACATTTTTTGTTTCTTCTCTCCAGATGGCAGCTCTTCAGAGTCCTTTCTATGGAGATAAAATGAACCTGTTTTCTCTTTGCCAAAAAATAGAGCAATGTGACTACCCACCTCTTCCAGCTGAACATTACTCTGAAAAGGTAAATTGGGAGTGTTTTTGCAGAGGGATGTGGTTGGGGGTGCAGTAAAGTTCCTGCCTGCTCAGGGCAAAAGGAATGCAGGAGGAGAAATCCCCTCCATCCAAGGCAGAACAGGAGGTGGCCAGAGTGTGCTGTGGGTGCCTTTAGGGCTGGCTGAGGAGGAAACTATCATCATGATATCTGAATGCTGACAAATAAGACAGAAAAGATTCCTGATGTGGGGAATATTGTGAAACAAAGTCTGATGCTGGCAAAAACCAGCAGTGAACCGTGGGAAAGCCCTGTCCTTGGCTTCCTTTCCCTTCAAACAACATACCCTAAAACATGCTTAAATTCTTGTTCATGAAGTCTTTGGTGCATGAACAAGGGGAGACAGGTTCTTAAGGAAAAGAGGGGAGAAAGCTGTTCAGTTTAGTGCAGTAAACAGCTGTACAGGGGGTTTTGAAGCATGATCTTTGCACATGTGCAAGCAAGGGATGCAGAGCAGTAGCTGAACCAGAGTGTATAAGACCCTGTCACTGTGTGTGCTTGCGTTTCACTTCAGCTGCACACACACACATTGGTTTTGTTCAGGCCCCTTTTGAGATGGGTTTAATGTTTTTTTCCCTTACTTAGGCAAAGCAGCTGTTTTTCCTTACCTCCTCATTCCATTACAGTTGCTTTCTGTTTGAAAGGAAATGGCTAATGTAATTTTAAATGTTCACTATATCCTTTGGGGTTTCTCTTTTGTTTTATCCTACCTCAGAGTTCTGAGGAGCAAGAGGCAGGATGCAGGGGAAGTACCGTATGTGGCCTGGTCCCCACCCTGAGAGGGACTCTGCACCACACATCTTGCAGTTTACTTAGTTCTTACTCGCTGAGTAACTCGTGCAAAGAGATCATTTGAGAACTGGTCTGGAAAAGTGTATTTTCTAATCTTTTCTTCCCCAAGCTGCCGCAGCAGCGAGGCCTGGCTCATGCATTCATGTTTGCCATGCTGTTGTAGCATGCATTTCAGGATATGCCTGCTGGCAGCAAGAATTAGTGTAAGTTGACAGATGTGTTTCCTGTCTTTACAATTACTGTCTGTTTGCTTCCCTCTGGCAGTGCTAAAGAGTGTGTGTAGTGTAGTGATACAATCCAGGGTGAGAAGGATGGTTTAAAGCTCAAAGGCGCCAGGTCCCAGAGAACTAGACTCCAGATGGTGTTCATACACTATTAACAGAATGCTTGACAAAGTCTGGGGAGGGCTGTGCCTTTGGCTGTAGCTCATCTCGCTGCATTAGCTGCTGCTGCTGCTTCCTGAAACCACAGAGAGCTTCGATTTTGTGAATATTAGAATGCCGCTCCACCATGAACAACACTCGGTTTCATACTTGCTTTTAAAGATGGGGTTTTCAGATGCTTTTGGAGTGGATAGCCAAAGGAAAAGGTGTGCTGGTGTCTCCCTGCAGCCAAGCTCGATAACCCAGGCAGGCAGGATCAGAAACAGCAGCGAGTTGCACCATAAGGAATTTGTTGTTCCTGCGGGTGGTTATCTCGGTCTGAACGCACGCGTTTTCCTTCATGAGTGAATGTCTCCATTTTAGATTGAAAGGGCTGAGTCTTTTCATCCACTCTTACTGCTGCAGGTTTGCGTGGTGTGGGGAAGCAGTAAAGCCTTTATATCCTCCTGCCCAAAGGCAGGAGTGAAGATTAGGCTGTGCCATGCTACCAAAGCTCATGGGGTGCTCTGGAGCCATCAGCATCTTTTCTTCACCTTGGAAGTGTGGTCTTGAAGCAAAGCTTTGGTGTAGGCTGACTGTTAATCGCATGAATAGTTTAGTTGCAGCGTTGTTTTAGATGAGCAAGGCAGAGCATTTATAGCAGAATTCCTGCTTTAATGGTGCTTCCTTTCTGTGATGTCCCTCTTCTGTGTAGCTTCTTGTGGCTAACCAGTCCAAACCCTCCTGTGATCAACTGCCGTGCTGCTTGTAGCAGGAGGAAGAGCTGGGACTCCGGCCAGGGTTAGTTTTCTGTATCAATAACAAATTTTCTGGCAACTGGAGATCCTGGTTGTGCTTCTCCTGGCTTGGTCTGCCAGTTCCCTGCAGGTGATGGTGAGATGTCTGTGCTCTCCTGGGCACTGACCGGGGACAGAGCTTCCCACCTGTGTTTAAGTGCTGTATTTACATAGCGGCACAGCTGCTGGTTGGACAAACTGCGCTGATGGCATGGGCTCTGGTTAGAGCTCTAGAAGCATTTTAGTTTGTCTGTGGGTGTTTTGTGGTGATGCTGTCTGAGCAGGGCTGAGGTGTGTTAAACCTTCAGGGTTACAAAGGCAGCACCTCCTGCTCTCAGGTGGACCAGAAAACAGCACTACAGCAGGTAAGAGAGAATGGGCCAGGCTGTGGGGTTGGGTTTGCTCTGGAGGTGGCCTTGCTAAGGGGGGTTGTGTTGCTCTCTGTGCACACAGAATGATGGGGAAGGTGGTGTGCAGGAACTGCATTACACTGTGTCCCTGCTGCCTGTGCCACCTCTTAGGAATCCCCCATGAGACACTCACAGTCCCAGCGATGGCTGAAGCGCAAGGGCCCAGCTCCATCCAGAGCTGAAAACCTCACTTGAGTATGCTCAGTGCTGCAGCTGAAGCCGTGTGCTCAATAGCTGTATGGGCATGCTTTTAATTACCATTAAAATAATTGGCACTGTGGCTACTGGGAGGATGTGAGAAGATCAGAGGCTCAAGGCTGTTTCTCCTGGTGCCTCGGGGGTACGAGCAGCTTTCAGTGTCTGTATAATTAAAAGCTACAATCTTTCATGTGCACAATAAAGAGGGCTGGGAGGTGGGGAGGCTTCAGCCCTTCTGCATTTTATTTATTAAACATAATCAATGACCAGTCTCTTCTTCACAAAGGTTTTTAGGAAGCGTTGGTATCTGGCAGCCAAGCTCCAGTATCTTAAGATACACAAGTGCTGGTCAGACTTGTACAATGAAGAGCTTAACTGGCTTGTGACAGGGGATTGCTGCGAGAAGGGACGTGCAGTTGTACAGGAGAGCTCTGTTCAGGCGTCCCCCTTTCCTCAGAGTCCACTTTCATGGGCAAGTCCATCAGTCGGATTTCTGGAAGTGATCTTGGCTTCCCTTCAATCCATGTCCTGCTTATACCTCCCTCTGCCCCCATCCGGGACCCCCCCACTCCTGTCTTGTGCTTCCTACTCGCTTGGACCACAGGCTGATGACAGGGGTCATCCCTGCGCTGGTTCTCAGAGATAAATCAAAACCCCCCAAGAAAAAGAGGTCTGTATCTTTATAAAAAGTGTCGAACCTCCTGGTGTCACAGCTGGTTGACGCATCCTCTGCAGAGCCCCAGCAAACCACTGAGCAGTAAATGACACCGGATGCACTGGGTTGTTGTGGGGAAGATTTAGATCTCCAGCACACAAAAACTGGTGGAAAAGCTTCTTCTGGCCCTTTTGTAGGGTGACACAGGATGGGCAGACGGATGGACACGTGCCCAGGAATGTCTGCGTTAGGGTTCTTGGCGCCTGGCCTGGCCTCCAGTGGTTGGACAAACATTCCCATATCCATTCACGTTTGCGTGCCTGTTTTCTTGTCTTTCAGCTGCGGGAGCTGGTCAGCATGTGCATATACCCCGATCCTGATCAAAGACCTGACATTGGTTACGTGCACCAAATAGCGAAACAAATGCATGTGTGGACCTCCAGCACATGAAGCGTCTGCAGCCGCTCTCGAGAAGCCAGCACAGCTCAGTCTTACTTGAATTCTTCTTTTCTCAGCTGAAACCAAGTGGTGCCTTGTCAGCCCCGAGGGAGGGTTGAGCACTCGTAGCAAGAGGCTCCATTATTTCTGCAGGTTATTTGACAAGGACTCTTACGCCGTGGTCATGCTTTAACGTGAAGATTCTGTGAGGTATTGCAAGTGATTTTTTTTGTTGTTTTCTTTTCCAGGCCAATAACATGTTACAGATGTAGATCATTTAAGGGTCCTTTCTTAAAACTGTCGTGTGTAATCTAGGATAGATAATAACAAGGGTGCAGGTTTGCTGCACCCCCTCTATCTTAACTGTAATGTGAACTATTGAAATAATTCCTTCAGTGAAATCACTTTATACTAATGTAAGAATTACAGTAGATTTTGTGTAATTTGTATAACTGCTACTTTGCCTCTTCTGCAAATGTTCAATAGCAAATTCAGTTTTTACTTCGTATATTTTAAAGCAGCCATTTATGTGTTTTTATTAATTCCCTCTTCTTCAGACATAGGAACTGGGAAGGGTTTGGGGGGTGGGAAACTCATTTGTTTCAAGTTTTTTTTTTAATGGAAAATGTAGAGCGAGTGTTTTGCTGATGCATTGATCTGTTAACATGGCTACAGCCAGCGAGATAAGGATGTACCTAGGGACAGAGACAAGGAATATGCCAACAAACCAACCCAAAGCAAGCCTTGCTCCTGTAAGGGATTGCTCTTTACACTTCTTTTCCCATTTGGCATGAGTCTTTTTAGACTACAGGTCCCTGTTAGAATCCAGTGTTGTATTGGAGCCAACTCGATTTTGGTGAAGATACTTCTCCGTGTTCAGTCCTACGTCAGGTACCGTAGGCAGAACTGAAGCAAAGCAGTGTTTAAACACTTTGACCATTTTTTAACCAGAAAGAAGTCAGTTGCTTTGTGTGTCTAATTCTCCACAAGGATGAGCCCCGTCCGTTCAACTGTGAAAGCTCATTTATAAAATGTGAAGTTTTGTAAGATCTCCACCTGATTTGAAGGAGTCTTCTTTAACTACATGGAAATTGTCAACCAGCTAAATTCATTCATTGAATCAATGATTTGTTTCATTACTGTCGAGGGAAAATAGTCACTGCTTTAGGAACAAACATGGATTCACGTTCAAGTGTTTCCATTTCATGTGCCTGTTCAGAGGAACAGGCTGCACTTAACGTTCTTGAGGGCTCCAGCAGGGGAAGGCACACGCCTGTCCTGTGGCAGCACTGCTTCCATGTGTGACGATGGCTAATGCCAAAGTGTACATTTGTGTGTGACAGTTCACATGCAGCCTGTGCCTGTTGGGTTTTTATTCTGAAGAGAAGCATACAATCCTTAATGTTTTGGAAATAGGATTAGGGTTAGAGGGTTACCTACATATATATGCTTTTAGTGGATTTCTTTTTTAACCTAATGTGCTTTACTTAAAGGAAAACTGCAGTGCTGTCTTCAACTCCATCCCATACAATTTTAAACTATATAGGATAGCAAGGAAAAGCTGTTAATTGCTGTGAATAAGGTTGGTATCGTTAATGCAGGGTGCCATTTCATTGAGTCCTCTCAGCAGAAAGTTGAGCCTGCTGCTCTCAGGAGAGAGGCAGGAAATTCAAATCAGCATGAGAATGTAGTGGATGCACCAAATTGCTTCCTCTGTTCCCATGCTAACGTGGTTAATTTATACCCGGCTTCTTCAGGAGTTCTTACATTTAAGACTGAAGACTGTCACTCTGACATTGCAGCTTTCCTTTAAGCCAGGGTGGCGGCCCCACGTTCAGAGGGACGGATGTGCTGCGCCTCTCTTGGTGTAACACAGAAAAGGATCTTTGGCTTCCAGGGAAGCTCAGATTGAATCCGAGTCTCTTGAGAAGTCTGGTCACTTTCTTGCTACATAGAATTTCTTAGTGCTTCTACGAAAATGTATTTCAAAAGGTAATTTTTTTGCAATTGTGCATTTTTAGATAAATAAAAAAATGATTTAAAAAATAAACACCTTTGTTTAAAAAAAAGTCTAGTATTAAGGAAAATATTCTAGAAACCCTGAAAATAGGCTTAAATGTGTGTGAAACTGTTCCTAACAGCTGGTATGTGTAGTTACTTTTCCAGAATGTCTCCATAAATTGTGCCTGTTCTCCCAGTGGAAAACCTACCCACGAAAGTCCTTGTCCTTACCCTCTGAAATCATGGCACAGCTAAAGCTCTTTTTTCCTGGATGGTTGTTGCAGGAGGCTGAGATGAGGCAGCAGTGCCTGTTACCATTCTGGAGCAGAGTGTGGATGATGTGCTTTGCTTTCCTTTTGACAAAAGTAATTCTGCAGGTGGATTTTCTGCATACCCTCTCCACTCCCAGGTTATGTGGTCCTGGGTGGAAGTTTGCAATCAGTGTCTCTCAAATAGCACAAGCTGGTGATTTTTAGGACAAGAAAGGTCCAGGTGGATGCAGGTGTAACAAGACAATTAGTCTGTTTTGAATTTGAATTGAATTATGCTGTCTAAATTTAGTCATTTAGGAATGTGTGTACCAGTATGGAGGATGGATCTACTCTGTATCCTGTCTCTATTGATGGAAAACAGGGAAGAATTAATATAAACATCCCACGATAACCTGTGTTATTTCCCTGCAGTGTGCTGTTCAGAACCCCCAGTTCTGTGTTTGTAACATTTCTTAATATCCACATATCCAGTAAAACCAGAATATTATTAGTATATATAGAATTAACAGAATTAATTTGTCAAATTGGAATTATGTGGAATAGTTTTACCCTTTTGCAGTCTGTTCCTAGAATGAAGTAACAGAATAGATATTGTACTTGGTGGTTTTTCTGCCCTAATGCCAGTTTGATGCTCATTACCCTTTCATATAATGGTACAGCCTGTTTCAGGTAAGTCCAGCTTGTGATCCCAGCCTACAGCACTAAGGAGACAGGTAAGTTCTGTTCTGCACCAGCCTCATTCTCAACAGCCTAAGGAGGGAAAACCAGCAGAAGAAAGCAGCACCACATGACAACACAAGGAGAATATTCAGAACCCTCTTTATTCTCTATCAGCCACTTGCTTCACTGGATGCTAGAAGGCTGCTAAACTGGTGCTGCTTGCTGGGACATAGAAGGAAACAGACGGGCTGGTGGGTAGTTCAGGAGGTGTCCATGGTTTGTACGGTCTCATCCAACACCTCAATTTCCAGGAGTGCTACATTTTCTGTGAGAACAGCAGTAGTTCCTTTCTCACACTTGTACCTCCCGTACCTGTTAAAGACAGAGGGGACAGTTCAGCTTAAAGATGATGCACAGGAAAAATCTCATTTACAATTCCAGTACCCAGATCTCTCCAGAAGTTTCCTGTATAAAATAAGTAAAGGAACTGTACTTAGTGCAACATCTAAGCTGACTGCAGTAACTGAGAACGTTTCAGAGAAATCGGCATTCTTTAGGAAACATCATCTTTAAAACAAAATAGCCCTTTCCAGTTACTTAGTCATTTACTTTCTAGAAGTCACCAGGATTTCATTAGAGTACTTGTATTAAGAAGGCTTCTTAGCAATTTATATTATATATAATTCTATACTTTTTCTTTTTTGCAACTGTTGAGTAATTATACCAATATCTGAGCTTTGGATTTCTGTGCTAAAAATTAGCTACATTTAGTACAGACTGCCTGTAATCAGGCTGTGCTTCTGGCATCTTAATTGCATCTGTCCAGATGCGGTGTTGCCCTTTACACCCATGCAGAGTATAATACAAAAGCTCACTTAAAATGTGTAACAGAACTTCTCTCTCATAGATGTCTGCTCACAATTAAGTGTCACAATTAAGAGTTGAGCAGAAATCTGAAAAGCTCTTTACCTGGAGCAGCACAGCTCTGCTTTAAAAGCAGGAAAAAGCAGTTTCTTTAAACTCTCCTGTTTTGGCAGTAGATTGAGAAGTTGCACAACTTGTTGCACATAACATAAAAGTACATATTGCAAAACCCTCTAGCAGCCTTGGGGGCTGTGATTTCCCCCCATTAGGCAATGGAGTTGAAATTCATACACTTACCTAGGGATTGCGCTGACAGAATTAAAGTATTACAGATACTAGGAATTGCTGGGAAGAACACAGATAATGCACAGCTTTGGGAATACCAACCTCTCCCCCTTCCTGTTGGCCACATCATATGGACGGAGAAAATCCAGCTTGCTCTTGCTTATAACGCAGATATCGATGTTGCTGCCAGAGCCCAGGTCATTGTATATGCCGGCTGCAATGGCATCTCTCACAAGCTGTTTGGCTTCCTCTTCCTACAAAAGTTAGAAAAGCTGTCACAATGCTGGCATTTCACAGGGGTGTTTGTCCAGGTGATGGGGGAACCTGGGAGCTCTCGGAACAATACAGGAGATACCAGCACCTTTTTAGTGACCGCAGCATCAACAGCAGTGCTGAACAGTGTGTTACCTACAGGGAGAACCTTTTATCCTATCCAGGATCCACCACCCCAGGATGGATCAGACTTGAAGAGACAGCCAGGAAAGCAAAGTTCAGATTTTGTTTGCATTAATGAACAGAGAAATAAATACATTTTATGATTTTTATGTGCCAGGTTTTTGTGTAAGGGTCAGGTTCCCTGCACTGGCCTCTGCAACAGCTGCATACGCATTAAAGGTTCATGCTAGTTAAGTTACAAGGCCTCACTGGGTAGAGAATGCTCTGCAGGACCAAAATCATTTCAGTGATGATGTAACTTCTTAGCTTATCTTAACAGTAACTGTCACAAAGCAGCCGTCCTCCGTACTGAGCTCTACCTGGCTAAAATGTTCAATTCTGGTCCTGAACACAAGTGCAGAGAACTTCTTAAACCTGCTGAAAACACTGGTCCTACCTGGTACTGCTGTAACAATGCTGCAGTTTGTAACTGAAGTCTTTCCATGCTTCAGGAATTCCGCAGATAACCAAAGCAGAACACATATTTAATACAGTTCATTTAATGCACACTGTATTTATATATCTTAATACATTTTATATTTAAATTTTTTATATATTATTAATAATGCTAAAATTAGATAATTTAGATAAATTAGATATAATTTATTTTTCTGTATTTCTAACCCTACTCCCTGGACCAAGTATTTGCAACAAAACTGAAACAGAAAACCAGAACAGGAACTAAAGCTCTCTATTGCTTATGAAACCACACACTAATCCTGCAGAGCTCTGATTTCTTACAGGTTTTGTATATCTACTTTCTTTTAAAAGGGCAAACATGCAGCTGCTGAAATACGCACAAGGTGTGTAACCCTGAGAAATACACTATGTAAATAGCCTGAAACAGAGCCCCATGATGTCTGTGATACACCAGTAACCATCAGAGGTGACTGTCTTTTACCAGGACACATTTCAGCTTCATCAACCACTCTCCACTAAACTACTCCACCCCACCTGTAATCATCCTCACCCCTCCCCAATAGGCAGCATTACTGGTATCAATGTGAAGGTGGCAGAAATAAATCCAAGTTCTGATCTGCCCGAGAGCCTTCATGACCAAGAGGAGGGTTGGCAGCTGCACTGGCTCCCTCTACAGCTCCCAGCCAGGGCTTACTCTTATTTATTTCAAAGGCAGCTTACTGAAAACACACCAATCCAGATCCAGCTCTATTAGAAATAAGCAGTAACGCCTTAGGTTTACACTTACTTATGAAGAAATGCTGCAAAACAATGTTCCAGATGTTTTAAATCCTGTAAGAACCTTGTATGGGCACCCTGTCAGTACCAACACAGGCCTGTCCCTACCACTTACCATTTGCCCAAGTTCCATTACTCAGCAGGGGCCTTGAGCCCTCTTCCCATGGCACTGAACATGGGGAACACAGATTGTGTCCATACACACACAGGTGAATCTTTTCAATAGCCCCTTCAGTACATAGCTCAACACAAGCCCCTTTTCTCAAAGCAAACTTAACTGAAAACAACTCCCACCTGCCTGGTCCAATAAAGACTAAACCACACCAATCTGGACTCTATTTTATCAAGTCATTTCTAGCAGGTGCTGCTCAGCCAGCCAAACACAACTACGTTACCATGATCAGTCCTCACTGCTTTGCTGATATTTATTGCCACCGGACCTGGTGAAAAGAGGAGCAACCAGACAAATGATGATAAAGGCAGCTTTTTAAATACCTGCTTCATTTTGAAGGTCTCGGTGTCACTGCCAGTATGCTGCCACATGACAATGATCAGCTCCACAGCCCAATTCTAAACCCTCTGATTCCAACAGCAGCTGCACAAGCCCCAGTGTACAAGTGCGGCTGAAGGGGAGCCCAAAATTAGCTCAGCTACAACCACGTCTGCTCCCTGTGCATACCCTGCATTCCCCGATGGCCCTCTGCAAGAGCACTGCCTAATAACAGTATTCCTATAACAGCTTAATTACAGTATTGACCAGGAGGAGGCCTTTATTTCCAGTAAACTATAGAAATTGCATAAATCCTTATTTAACTCCAGTTTTAGAAGCACTACTCTTTAAAAAAACCATAAATTGAACTGCACTTTCTACCAAGCTGACTGGAACAAAACAGCCATGCTGTAAAACTAATTCCTGTGCCTTTCTTCACTGGTTTTTGGCAATAAAACTCTGCTAAGTATTTCTTCATTCAGCTGATAGGAAACTGCTCTCACCAACTGGTTGCATGCTAAGGGTACTATAGAGAAAGTAAATATAGTAAAATAAAACAAACATACATGTAGATCTGATTTAAAAACATGATAGCAACCAAAATCATTTTAAGCAATCATACAAATGTTAGTATATGAAATGCACCACAGCTTAGGAAAACTACAGCAGATGGTTGGGAGTTTGTTCCATTCTCCCCTTTAATTTACTCATTTTTAGACAAGAACGTAAAACTTTATTTAAATAAAATTTGAATTTTATTTACTTTCTAAAGTGCACTCGCTCAACCTCCTGCTATTAAAACAGTTCTAAAAATACCCAGCACAGGCAGCAGAGCTCAGTGACCACACTAAGGTATCCACTACACTAAGACAGTAAAATGTGATCTCTGCTCTGCCAGCTCATAGAGTGCAGCCTAGTTCATGAACCTGGAATAATTTTCATATTAGAAAACCCTGCTTTGGTGCTCTTCTCCTTTCATGATTTAGAAAGATGACCAGAACAGCCACAAGCAAGGACTGCTGTTTTACAGTCAGAAAACAGGGGGTTAGCATGAAAAGTGCTGACACAGGGGCACAAATGAGTCACTGTAATAATTAATCTTAAAAAACCCTAAAAGTTCAGAGTATATAAAAGGAGCACTTCCTACTTTATGGTTGCAAAGACCAAGCTAACTGGGAATATCATTCTCTTGGGTCCACACTGCTTCTTAAATGAGATTACCACGAGAGTGATGTACTGTAACACAAGTCGGTCGTGACAAGCAGCGCTTTATAGAGCTATCTGTTTGTCTCCATCACCACATCACACAATGTGTCCCAGGACTCCAATGTGCAACTCCATTTACCACTACATGACAAATGGGCAGCACTTGTAAAAGGCACAAAGAGGTCCAGCTCAGCCGTGTAATGGTCACCGCAGATGTACCAGAGTGCTGGAGGGGGGAAAAAACAGACCCTCAAGTTCATTAAAGTGACCAGTAATGGATCTTCCAAAATGTGTCTTAGGAATAGTACAGTAAAGGCTAAAATAAATAACTCAGCATGGAAGGCTAATCTGAAAGTGTTTGATAAATTATTTATAACACAGACAATTGTCTGCATTTAATATTGGCGCTACCGGTAGCATCTTTAAAAGATGATTTATGTGTTGTAATGCCATTAAGCTTTATATGGGCCCACTGCTAGCTATAAAGTCTGCTGAGATTTAGAGAATGAGTTTTAAACTGTCACTGCAACATCATAGTAGATAGAGCCAGTATTAAATCTTTACTTTAAACCTGTTATCTGGAGAGTTGCATTTTGTGGACACTCAAGAACTGATAGATTACCTCTCTGCAGCTGCTATGCTGCAAGTCCCAAACAGCACCAGTGAGGAACTTTTACACATTATTCTTGTATATGACTTGAACCAAGTTTCTGTTCTCACTTAAGCGATTTCTAGATTTCAAATGCTACCAAAGGAAAAAAGAGACACTTTCCTACGGAAGATGTGGATGTTTCTGCATCACATCAATACAGCCTTTATGAGCATTTTTAAACAAGTTTATCATTATCCCTCCAACAATAAAAGGAGCAGCTGGAATGATTTTGAGTGTTATTTTCCCAGCATTTGGTAACTTTGCAAGCAAGTTAAATCTGGAAAAGCCATCTCCTGTTTAAAAACTAGAATGGATAATTTCTTTAAGTTCTTACCCAAGTGAAATGAACACCTTCTGCAGGTCACCGGGAGGCTGTCACAGATGGGATACATAGAGCAGTGCTCCAAGAGCAAGTCTTACCAAGAACATGCAATAGAGTGCACAATGAGTATTTGCACAGAATGGATACAATGGTGTCTAACAATATTTGTAAAATTAAACCAAATACCACACTGGTTTTTACAACAGAATGAAATGCGTTCCTATGATGTAAAAAGTTGATCCTACTTTAAGTGAGAATCGACAAGACTCAGGTGGGGAGGGAAGGAAAAGAATCAGAAGGCTCAGGAAGGACAATGATAATAAAAAATAGATCTATAAAGGAGTGGTGGGAATTTGGGGCTGGGAAAGCGATACCTCTTGAAGGACATAAGCACCTACAGAAGCATAATTAGATTTCAGAAGAGTAATCAGCCAAGTACAACATGTGAGAGGATGTGCAAGTCTGCCTGCAGGGAGAAGCTGTGGTAGAGATCAATATGTAACTGGAAGCAATGCTAAAATCTGCTGGCTAAGTCCAAAGAGAGAACAAAACTGAGAAGCAAAGTACTTTGTGTTTTTCTTGTAAGGGGAGGTTGAAAGACTCCATTAGTGAGGATGAATTTGTTTTGGCTCCCTTCTGAGGCTGGGAAGGGGCTGGCACCTGTAATTTAAACCAGATTTAACAAGTCTTCACCAAAAAAAAATATGCATTTCAAGCGGGACCCCATACACAGATGAACAACCTCGCTTCAGTAATTTGGGTTTTTTTTATTAGACAAAGTAGTTTGCTTCTCTCTCCTCTCTGAGCAGGTGAATGAAACCCAAGAGCAGGCAGTCCTTCCAGTCTGCCCCTCACCTACCTTCCTTCCACCATCCTTTTTTGTTTGTGCTCTAAGACGTTACCAAGTTCGAGGTGGAATGCTGAGATGGAACAGTCCAGACAAGGCAAAACA